CTTTTGTGACACATAAGTTTCGAGAAAATTTAATTTTAAAATTTTTAAATTTTTAATCTAACAAGGAACAAGAAATTGTCTAACAAGGAATTGTCATCTAATTTCTACACACGATATAATAAAGCGCTATACCGTCAATCCCGATACCGCTTACCCACTATTTATACAGGGTGACTCAAATTATATAGGACACTTTTCTATCCTTTGTAACTTTTTTTGTTCATATCATTTTTAGATAATTCCAAGTTTATTTTGTAGCTCATTTATTTCTCTATCATATAGTAAAATTAAAAAATTTTTGATTAAGGATTAAGAAAGTTATGTAATTTTAGGTACACCATATCAAAATTTCCCCCCAAAATTATATTTTCTGTATCTCAGAAAGGAGAAGTCCAAACGGGATGATCTCAACAGAATTTAATTAAGATCACTAGCGAACCGGAAAAATCTGAAAGATAAAAACACCAACTCCTACATGGATGGCTCTGAGTAGATGTAAATCAGTGTCCGGTATCATTTGGGACACCTGTAAAATTGTCGAAAATAAAACAAAAACTTAATTTAATTTATCTTGTATATCTAGAGAAATTGGCATTATATTATATTTTATTATACTAATAAAGAATAAATTGGAAAATATTAAAATAATATAATAACAGATAGTATTAAAGAATGATTCTATTAAATATTTTTTTCACTTTTTAAGTAATATATCTAAAGTTTTTATCATTCCAGTACATTGAGCAGCACAGTTCGGACATTGACACTGAGTCGGATAGCAGCATTCCTCTTGTCCAAACGTTGAAATAATTAATATTGTAGAATACATCACGAAATATAATAAGGAATATAATACATAATGGATCATTATTGTAGCACTCTACAGCGAGCCAGTAAATTGACAGATATTGTGATCAAATAAATCTTAAAGGATAGAGAAATATATAAAAACAAATTTAATCAACAATTTTCGAGTTTCAGGCAAATTTTGGTCAAAAGTCCGCAAGTTATTATATACTTTCTTCATGAGAAAATTCTTATAAGCTTAACGTCAAAACCCCTAAAATGACGGATACTGAGTCTGAACAGCTTGGTCATAGCCTGGCCAGTCTGCCAAACTATGGCCAATCTGAATAGCCTGGTCGAACTATTTATGATCTAGCCAAGAAGCTATTTCTCTCCTTCAGCTTGTGCAAAAGGTTATTCGGCGGCTGGGAGCGAACCAGCATCTTCAGTAGATGGAATGATGTGTTATCCATTAAACAATACCGCCTACAGCAGCAGAGCCTTAGGAATTAATTAGCTATATGCTTTACAATATCCGTATATGAATAATGTGCATAATTATTAGGAATAATTATTAGGAATATTCTTAGGAATTCTTTTAGAGCCGCTATACCAAATAATATATATTTAATATCTAACTAAAATCAATAGCGTATTTATATGGCCATGTTACTCTAGATTCAATCATTTTTCTTACCACATTAATTTCATGTTGGCCTTCAAAACGTGGAATTGAATATAAAAATCTCACTAAAATACATTCTATTTCCCTAAAATATGTTGCAAAAAACTATGAAAATAATATAAATTCAATATTGAATAAACATTTAATATTCATTTTATTACCAAAAATAGTGAAGAATATTCCTTGTACTTTTTAAAATTTTATTTTTTCAATTCGGATTTTTTTTAATTTGAAATGTGGCTAGTATCAAAATTATTTTTTTGAAGCTAATAAAATAATGTTTCTCGTTTTTCCTTATGGAAATAAATTTTAGTGAGGTGTGAAATATTGTTTATGTAGAATGATGTTATTTATACTTTTTGAAATATTTTATTGATTTAGTAATATTCAAATTATTTAGTTTTGATCGAATAATATATTCTTAAGTATTAATTGTCTTAATGTTGGACTGAATCCTTTCTTGTTCTTCGACTAAAAACCTAATAATAAAATATACTTATTAGTACATTTATAAAAGTTATCGGATTTTTAAGTTGTAAAAACTTTAAAATAGGTACCTAAATAGGTTGAAAAAAATGCTAAAATATCAATTCATAAATATGTAGTTATGGCTCAATTCATCATAATTATTTCGCAGAAAAATTACACTTGAATTTTTGGCGTCGAAGACGACAAAAATTTTTATTTCTTCCTTTTTCAGCGCCGCAAGCGAAATTTTTTGAATTTTGAAAGATCCTTAAGCCAAAAATCTTCCATTTTAAGCGCCGTAGGCAAAAATTTTGAGGATTTTGGAAGGCCAGAAGACAGATGTCTTCAATTTTCAGCGCTGCAGGCGAAAATTTTGAGGATTTTTGGAAGTCTTTGCAGAAAATAGTGGTATTTTATCATAAAAACTACAAAAAATATAAAAAATCCTCATATTCTTCAAAAGACTACAAAAATCCGCAAATCCGCATTTAAAAAATAATCCTCATCGCCCTATCCAAAAACCACAAAATGAGGAAAAATCCGCAGAAATCGAAACCCTGGTATATACAGATACACAGCAACGTAAAATAGCCAGATAGTACAACCAGATTTTCAGTGCTGTTTAAGTCGTGCCTCTATGGTTCAGTTAATCCAAGGAGGTTCGAATCATTTTCGAGAAAATAAATTAAATTGAATTAATTGAAAATCACAATAATCTTTCCTAATTCACATCTAGTGTCATTTTTAATTAAAATACATTTTTAACATAAGTTTTTACCTTTATTTTACAATTTCAAAAATTGTTTTTTAAGCCATGTATAACTTTTTTAATATGAAAAAATAATTAAAAGCAAAGATAATACGTTGATTCATGATTTAAATTAAATAAAATTTGAAAAAAAAATCTTTTTTATTTTTAAAAATTTTTATTCTTTCGAGATATTTCATGGTTGCAGGCTATGTTTTTGAATTAAAATATTCAGGTACACAACCCATATAGAATTATTTCAATTTTATAACTGTTTTCCAAAATTATACGCACACATGTAAAATTTTGTTTATCAATCAAAAATCCACAGAAATTTATATGGACATCACACAATTAAGATGAAAAAAATTAAAACACCTGTTCAAGTCATAAACGAACTTAAAGTGTAATCGTACAAATGTTATAATAATGTCTAGTAAGGTTGACGGATCCGGATAATTTTATTCCTTTACCAATTCTAATTTTACTCCTTTACCAATTTTTAAATTATATTATAGTAGATATCAAGTAATTTATACCAATAAATAAAACAACTAAAAACATAATAGAATAAACTACATACGAATTTAAAAAATAAAGTTTAATAAAAATTCAAAAATAACTAAAAATTATTCTAAATAAAAGATGGTCATTGTAGTTGTAAATTAAGACAAGCAATTCAAATATAATGGAAACTAAAATTATTAAAAATTATTTTTATTTAGTCCAACTAAAATACCTGTTCAAGTCATTTTCTATACATTGCACTACTTCAAGAGTAGAAATCAAAGTTGATACGGCAAGCAAAAATGCAAAGAAAATTGTGTTAGTATTCATTTTTCTGTGTTTTAGAAAAGCTGGTATTACCGAGGCTGTTGCTCTTAAGAGTATTTTAATAAATAAACAAATATTTGATAATTAACTAAAATCTATAGGGTATTTATATGGCCAAAATTAGTTCAGATTCTCTCACTTTGCTTGACACAAAATTTCATGTTGGCCTCCAAAACGTGGAATTTAATATGAAAATATTATTAAAATATGCTCTATTTCTCTAAATTTCTTCCAAAAAAATAAATTTTATTTTTATTTTATTATCAACTAGGAAGGAAAGAATTCCTTGTACTTTTCAAATTTTATTTTTTCAATTCGGACTTTTTTAATTTTGAAATGTGGATTGTATAACAAAATTATTTTTTAGTGAATAATAAAAATATATTTCTCGACTAGCGTTACAGATGGGAAAAGATTGTTTATTTAATAAATTTTATTTAATATTATTTGAAAATATTATCATGTAGGTTTACATTAGATTTTGTTGTGTAGAGCTAAAAATTTTATTTTTGACATTTTTGTCGATTTTCACAATTGACTTTGATACGGTTTACGTGCAGAATAGTTCTGGTTTAATTGAAAAGTTTGGATTACCGCAGCTGTTGAGAAATCGCTAAACTCATTAAAATCAAAGTGTATGATTATTAGGGAGAGGATTTTTATTGAAATATTTTTTTCCAGAACACATTTCCAGAATTTTATGACTAGAAAAGCACAAATATGCCATTAGTTTTTCGATATTATTATTGAACGAGTCATTGATATTCTATGTATTCAATAAATTTTTGGACGAATCATTGATCATAAATGAGGTTGATTTGACATCTAATACTAAATATTTTTTCAAAAGATTCATTTTATATTCAATAAATTTTTATTTAAAAATATTAAAAGATGAGTGAAAAGACATTGTAGTAATAAATATCTAAAAATGTCTATAAAAAGTGTTGATTTTAGTCATAAGTGCAACAGGAGTTCGAGACTAGTTAGATAGTTAGACTTGGGCCTGGAGATCAGGAAAATATCCTAGCTCGATCTTTAATGCACTCATAACATGGATGTACTTTAAACGTTAAATGAATAGCGTTTATAATTTAATATAATTTAATTATAATTTAATTTATAATTTAATAATTTAATTGATTTTTATAATTATAATTTTATAATTTTTATAATTTAATTGACTTGTATTTAGTGAAACTTTATATTTTGTGTATCCTTTTCTAAAAAAGAGCAGAGGTGGCTAGAGTCAGAGGTGTCGGAAATCGGAAGAGCCGGAAATCGGAAATGGCTCAAAAGTCGGAACTCGGAAATCAGAATTTTTTTCGGAAGTCGAAATTCCGACCTACCTCTGCAGTAAAGTAGGAAAATTTCAGAGGTCCATCTCTTTATAATCAAACAATATTTTTTAGTGGAAATAGCTGATATTCACTAAATAGAATAATAAAATTTTTAATTTTAATAATTATTTTTCTCATTTTATTTATTCTTTCCGCTCTGAATTGCTTTGAGTAAGGAATTTTCAGCTTCAATCTCCGCTCTTAAATTAGCTATGGAAGTGCGCAACTCATAATTGCGACGTTCCAACAGAGCCAATTCTTGTTGCATCGTGTTCTCTACTTTGCGTTGCCGGCGACGATAGCGGGCGGCGGCGGCATTATTCTGAGTTATTTAAATTTTATTTGAAATAGACTCGAGTACTTTATAATAAAGTGAAAATAGGTAGTTAGGGTGTGGCCCTGAGCGAGCGATGCCCAGTTTTGATTCTAGAACTTTTTTAGCCTTGATCCTGTCTCAGTAAATCCTATATCATTCGAAAGCCTTCGAAAAGCAATATAGTTTCCAACCGGTCAGATTAAGGCCGATCACTCAATCAAAAGCTACAACTCGAAAAGTGAACTTATTTAATTCTTTTCTTATTTATCAGTTATCTTTTTAATTGGTTATAACCAGATACTGATTTTCAGAATCTATAATCAAATTCGTGGATGTTATTCCACTAATAATTTTTTCTATTTCAAACATTTTTACTATTTTGTTAATCAAAAAAGCTCTTATATGCTAACATGCATTCCGCCCGAATAATAAAAAGCTTATTCACCTGCTTCCTCCTCCTCTCAAGTATTTGTGCAGCTGTTTCGTCTCTTGTAATAACTTCCTCATTCCCTTCCCTCTCATTTTTATTGCTTGTAATATTCCTTGTCCCAGTCACCTCCCTGACTGTCTCCACCAAAACTTTAACTAAATGCTCTAAAGAAAGGCCAACAACATTATTATTATTAGAATTTTCATTTATTTGTAAAGGCGAATTTGAAGGGAGAAGTAAAAGTTGTTGTTGCGGCTCTTGAAAGTAGTTTAATTGTGATGTTGGTTCGATTTGGGGGGAAAGGATCGCGGAGTTTAAAGCAGCGTTGACGATTTGACATTCCTGTGAAATGTTTTATTTTTATTAATATTAAAGGTTCTTTTCGGTCAGGTTCCCAAACGTTTTATAATAATTACACGTCTTTTTATTAAAGACGACACTCACTATTGTAAGGATGATTAACCTAGCAGCATTTAAAACCCTTAGGCGGAGGTTAAACGATCTAAAAGGATAAAGAATATGTAGCTCCTATACATATGAGTTCCGATATGTGTTGAGCGAAAGCGCCTAGCAATAACTGCAAGGAGGTCGCAGGTCCTGCCCGGTGGCAAAACTTCTGCTAAACTCGTTCTTTCTTTATATGTATGTACACCGAATACTAAATCAGAGTTATTTTGGGTAACAAAAGGGTGGAGAGCTGTCTAAGCGATAATCGCCCTCTAAGTATGATACATCTCAGTATAAGCTCGAATCACATTATGTGAGACCCTAAAATTAAGGTATGTCGACAATTGGGTGAGGAGCTGCCTAGGCGATATTTCCCATGTACTACTCGTTATAGTTTACAATTTCTAGGCTCCAACTCTCTTAGAACGAGGTTAGACAAATTAATTTTTGGATTTAATTACCAAATTATCAATTTTCCGTTCTTTTAAATAATTTATCAAATTTCTAATAAATAAAGAATAGAAAGAGCTGCCAGAAGGAAAGGGAGGAATCCCATTGTTGTTTAAATATTCAATCATTGAGTTCATCTTATTTAGAAAAATATATAATTGATATAGCTCAAAATATTTTTGCTTGGTAAATCATAAGGAAAAATTTTTTGTACTAAGCATAATACATTGTGTGAAGTAGTTAGGGAACAGTCAGCGGTTTTGGAAATCGGTGGAGCTGGAAATTGTAACTGGTTCAAATGTTGGAACTCGGAAATCGGAAGGAAAGAAACGTTGGAAGTTGGAAATAGGAATTCAAACACAACTTTAACGCAGATCAAGGATCATACCGTCGCGATTTTCGGAAATCGGAGCTGTATAGGGTTTAAGCCTATAAGAGGTATATTAACAAGTTTTTTGTTTCCTAATATTCCAAAATGCGAGTAACTTTCCTTAAGGGGTTGATCAGGGGTTTATTCAATACGGCATTGAGAGACGATTGTGGCCCACTAAAAGACACTAGGCTAATGCCATTTCGAGCACTGTAAGGATGATTCACCTAGCAGCATTTAAAACGCTTAGGCGGGGGTTAAACAATCTAAAAAGGAAAAGAGAAAGCATTAGTTGATGCCTCGGAAGCTCATTGGTAAAGCTCCTGTACATGGTGAGCGAAAGCGCCTAGCAATAACTGTCAGGTGGTTGCAGGATCGAAGCCTGCCCTGTAACTAAACCTTTGCTAAACTCTTTCTCAACATTTAATGAATAGTGTAATATTGAAATAAATAAAGGAATAAGCCACAAAGGTGTTCAGAACCTTATTTATAAGGAGGCGAGAGGAACTTAAAAAATTTTTAAATAAAAAAATTTCTGTTTTGGAAAAATAATTTCTGTTTTGGGTAAATAGTTTTAACTAAAGTTTTTCGGGTGTTTCTCTTAATTAAATTATATATAAAATAAATTTTTTTGATTGGTGATGCAATAATAAAATGATGAAATAATAGTTAAGAAAAGAAAAAGACAAGGGAAAATTAAAAATAGCGCTAAAAGGGTCCAATTTTTAAAAAAAGATAAGAGTGATGTAATAGGAAGATTATTGAAAGTTTTAAGGTAAATAAATTTTGAAATAATTCTTTGAAATAATTCTTTGAAATAAAATTTTTGCACTTTTTTTAACTAAATTTAATTTTGAAATGATTTTTAAAATAATCCTCTTGAAAGAAGTTGAAATTTTTAAAGGAATGATAAGGGATTGTTGGACACTCATGTCAATAAAAAATTAATCTCAGATACTTATAGACTTCTTACAATAAATTTTGGAATGATTTTCTTATCGTCGGACTTCCACAAAATTTTTAACTACATCTAGTTTTCTGGTTTCAAAAATAATAAAACTTCTGGCTCGAGAGGGTAACTATTGGAGACGGAGTAATTATGAGAGAATATACTGTAGGAGGATGTTAAGAATATTAGTATCTTTGGTTTGCCATGTTGTGGATATGTGGATAATATGTGGATAAATATGGAAATCTATAATCAAGTAATGAATCCTTAACACCCAATAGTAGAAGTCTGCAGGGGATAGTTTAATTCACAATTTAGATGCTTCAATAGAAATTTTTAAATTAATCTCTCACCTCATCAATATCACAAGAAGCATCATTAATCAGCCTCATCTCAGTCTCTCCCCTATCATTAGGCTGTTGCTGTTGTTCAAAAGCTCTACATTCACTTACAATTTCTCTATAAATTTCTTCTTGATGTTTTAAATTATTTGTATGAGGAGTATTTTGGATTTGTTGCTCATTTTGTAAAAATCCTCCATTAAAATCTATTTCGAGTCTATCTAACTGATGGCCTAATACACTTGCTGGAGAGCCTTGTCCTATGGAAGGGGAGGAGACTGGACTGTTAATAGTTGGGTTGTTTTGGAAATAAGTTTCTGGATCGACATAAACACGAAAATGATGTTGATAGTCGTTAGGTGTTGGAATTGTAGAATATAATGAAGAAGAGGAACAGGGCTGTTGACATTGATCTAGAAAACGGGAAGAGTTGTGATAAAACTGATATATGAAAGTTAACGTATTTTTAGGTGAAAGAAAAATTTGTGGTAGTGGCAGACTCTACATATATCAAGACCAGTGCTTGGTCGCTCGTACCAAAATTCGTACTCATAATCGTACTTTAAAAATAGTGGTAGTACGAGGTATGCAATTTCCAAGCACTGATCAAGACTTCCAAGTTCAGGAATATTTTTGAGGTTTGCAGCTCATATATGCAACTAAATATGTCATGCCTAAAAATTCTCTATTTTATTATTTATTCTCCTCAAAATTATCCCACGTATTGTAAATCCAAGAACCTCCGTTTTCCAAGAAGCTCCCTCTTCAAGGAATATTTAGTTGAGAGGTTGGATGTTAGATTAGCGAGTGACACTTCTGATTTCTCTTGTTAATACAGGGTGCACCATAAGTAATTGGACACTTTTAAATTCCTTATAACTTTTTTTGTTGTCAATATTTTTAATCGATTTTATGCTTATTTTTTAGCTCATTCAATTCTCTATTATGGCTAATCAACGTGATTCTATAATTTCACTTTTTTTGAAAAAAAATTCAGTCCGCAAAATTTCACCTCTTTTGAATGTCCCAAAGAGCACTGTGCAATACACTTTCAAAAAATTCTGTTGAAAATTTTTTGGGAGAAATTTTTTTTGAAATTAATTTAGTAATGATGACACAACTAAGAACTTACAAAAAAGTGGAAGACCGAGTACCGTCAGCACTTCCAAGAATATTAAAATGATCAAAAACTAGGTGCATCGCAATTCTCGACCCTCCATGAGAAAATTGGCTCGTGAAACCGGAATAAGTGAGATGACCGTCAGACGAATAGCTAAAAATAAACTAGGGTTAATACCCTACAAAATCCAAAAAGCACAACTCTTAACAGAAAAAACCAAAAAAGTTAGGCTTGAAGGATGCAAACTGCTCCCCCATTGGCACGCATGTCCGGACATTCTCTTCACAGACGAAAAAATTTTTACAATAAAAGCCGTTCACAACCATCAAAATTATAGAATCTGGACTACAGAATCTCCTCTTTCCGATGAGCTTATCACTCATTCCCAACATCCCCAATCTGTCATGGTTTGGGCCCGTATTAGCACGTCAGGCAAAAAACCCCTTATTTTCGTGGATCCTGGGGTAAAAGTCAACAAAGACTATTACTTGCGAGAAATTTTTCAGCGTGTTCTGAAGCCTCGGTTTAAGAGCCATTTTGGTCGCATGGTCCGGATTTTCCAACAGGACTCTGCTCCGGCACACAAGGCGAAAGAAGTTCAAGACTGTTGCAAGGCCAATTTTCCTGGGTTCATTAGCGCTCAGGAATAGCCGCCATACTCCCCGGATTTGAATCCGATGGTTATTCTTTTTGGTCTATTTTGGAGTCCAGGGTCTGTGCTAAGCCTCAAAAAAGTTTGGAGTCTCGGCGACACTCTCTCACCCGAGAGTGGGACTTAATTACACTTAAAGAGGTGCGTGCTATTTGCGAAAATTTTTCTTCGCGCCTTCGCCTCTGTATCAAAGCCAAGGGTGGGCATTTCGAAACTTCTTGATTATTATTGTTCCATATTTAATTCTCTATCATTTGATTGTATTTCGATTTTATTTGATTGTGTTTTAATAAAGTTATGAGAGAAAACATGTGTCCAATTACTTATGGTGCACCCTGTAGTAATCCTTTATATTCTCAATAAAATATTCCTTTTCAGAAAGGAACATTTCTTTCCAAGAGGAATGTTAATTACAGGAAGAAATATTCCCCTATTAATTACCAAAATTTTCTTGAACAACTCTAGTTTGCGCTGTATGTTGAGTTGTTGGGGTTGATTTATGTAGTTTATTCGCAGCTACATTAAACAGGGAACCAAATAGTGAACGACGGACGAGTTGTTCTTCAGCTGTGAATGGGGTTGCCATAATTATTAGTTTTATTATAATTACAATAAATTATTAAAGCAAATCTAATTTTCTGAAAATTATTAAATTCAAAAAATTTCTATTAAAAATTATGCAAAACGCTGTTATCCTTGGACAAATGTGAGGAATACCAACTTGTCGCAGCTCCGTGTATCTTAGTTATGGTTGTCGTTTTCGAATCGGCCGACGTTCAGTCATTTTTTCGGGCCTCATTTTTATCAGGCCAGACTGATCGAGTCCTTTTCGAGCCAAAATTCGATGCCCGACTCGATCATTCGGAACGGACTAATCTTCATACGCAGTCCGAAAGGGACATTGGGTTCTTAGTCTGAAGGCGCAGTCTCTACTCAAAGGCCTAATAAAAGCCCCAACTTTAACTTAAATTTTTCTATGAAATTTTTTATTTAATTCAATAAATATGTAAAATAAATAAAATAAAAATTAATAATTAGTGATAAAGTGCTTTATTAATTTATGGGGAGAGAGTCGGCGGCGACTGATCGATTCTTTCCCCTTTATTTTTTTTTCACTCTCGACTTTCCCATTCTAAATAATTTGTTTTTTTATTTTTTTTTTAATTTTTTATTTAAGAAAGGGCATGTGAGAGTCTTAGTGAAATTTGTTTTTTAATACAATGGAAGCTCTCTTTAACGTCAACCCTCCCTCCATTTCCTTCCTTCAAGATCCGAGGAGTTAAAATTTGTTTTCTAGAGCATCAGAAAAATGTCGGTTATTTCTTCCTAAAATTAGAGTTTTGGAGAAAATATAAAGCCTGAAAACAGAAAATTTCAGAAAGTCATCGAGAATGGCTGTTGTAAACTGACGGATACTGGAACAGAAAGCCGTCACTCCCATTAAAGTTATTGTGAGAGACTTTTTGAGGGGTAAATCACAGAAATAAATTTTGGATGGGTATGGCTGATATTTTACTAATACCTCCTTTGGTCTTGGACAACACAAAGTTTACAAAATATTAAATTTTCTAAACAATTTCTTTTATAATTATTTTTTTACACATCCGTGTTTGTCTGGGTGATAATAAAGTGATAATAAATTCTTTTATAAAATTATTAATAGAAAAATTATTAAATTATTTTTATGAATAATTTTAATTTATTAATAAAAATTATTATTAATAAATTAAATTCTGAGTAAAATATTTGATAATTTCCTTAATAAAAAATATTTTTTAAATTATTAGGGACTTCATTAGAGCTTCTCTCAAATAATTTCTATCGTAATAAATTTACTCTAAACTTCCCTTAAATTTCGTAACATGCACATGCTCTCAACATGATTGCCCTTGTGTGGCATAAAAAAAATTTTTTTTAATGGGGATTGTCCGACTTGTTTTTTAATTTTTTAAAATTTGTCAATAACTCAAAGAAAAGTGCAAATGTACTTTTTATTTATTAGTTCCTTAATTTTAAACATTTAATTTTCTAATTAATTTTTTATTTAAATTTTGTTTCTTCACATTTGTCCACTAATATCTAGAGGCAGAATTGACTGGGGTTGTGATGGGCTACGGCGAGTATTAACTGTTCCAACTAGAGGCTGTTGTTGCTAAATAAAAGAATAAAATTTGTAACGTGAAAAATGGATTTAAATTATTTTAAAATTCTTAAATAACTTTCACTATTGTGTAACTTTCTTGAAATTCAAGGCCTTGATCTTTTCTTAAAATTGGTTATTGGACTGCAGATTTATTTTTTACTTAAAAAATGTTAATAAAAGCAAATGTGCTCTCTATTCTTGTTTCAGTCGTATAAAGAAATGTCTTACTCGAATGATCACGTACCTTAGCTAGTGAGCTAACTGTAAAACCAAGTCGTATTTATGTTTCATATTAATATTTTACATTATACAGGGTATCCAAAAAGTAACCGAACACATTGTTTATGGCGTAATTTATCAATTTAAAGATTTAGGTCATATAAGGATTAGATGACAGATTATTAACAAAAGTAATAAAATAATTAAGTTAGGTATTACTATTTCATTTAAGCTTTATTAGATAACATTATCTTAAATTTAAATTGTGTCAAAATAGGTGTCCGGTTACTTCCTGGTCATTGTTTCATTTTGTATTTATTTTCCATCAGAAAAATTATATAAAAATTACTTGATTCACCCCTTCCAAATTGCCATTCCCATCAGTTAGCAATTGAGCAGATTGATGAGGCAAAACTCCTCCGCGCAAATTATAAAGTGGTGAATGCTGAGAAGAAGCAATTAATTGTGAGAAGGGAACTGCACCTTCACTAATAAGACGGAATTGTTGTTCATGATCGCGAATGAGAGAGGAAGCTGGTAATAACGATTCTCCAGATTGTGTTGATTGAATGGGGCCAGTCGGAGAAATAATTGATGGAGGAGGGAAGATTCCAGTTCCCTTAAATTTTAATCCTTAATATAATGAGAGTTATCTAATATGAGAAGTTTAGGAAGCTCCAAACATCCAGTGGGTACCAAAATTTAAAAATCAGTTGAAAATTGGCAAAATATTGAAAATATTGAAATGTGACTTAGTTTAAATTCATGGTATCGAAAAACTTATGGCAGATTTGGGCTTCTCTCACCATAATATAGGTATTCAGGAAATATTTCAATAGAAATCCGAGCCTACCCATAATAGTGAAAGTATGGAGAAGATTATATCTTCAAAAATAGTTCCAAACCCTATGGATTATTTTGAATATGTACATATAAGGCTTGGGCTTAATGAAAGCATTTCAAATTTAAAACAAGCTGGTAATAATCATATTGTTCGAAAAAACATTTTAGTAAAATCTCAATGCAAAAACAAAATAATTGAAATTAATATTACGTGAGCTATAGCAGCAAATTTTCTTGCCCCAGCCGAAAAATAGCGCATTCTTGTTTCATTTCCAATCCGCTCGCGTTCTACAATTGGTCCAACAGTGACAGTCTGTTTTAAAAATAAAAAATAGTTTTTTGTTAAAAAATGTTGGACCAATTGAGAAAATTTTTGGAAATTTCTTTTAGTTTCACAAATCTCCTTACCAATTGTTTGAAGAAATTATCGGCCTGTGATCGCTCTTTATCTGCGGCATCGTCTCTTGATTTGAAGAACGTTTCAAATTCTTTTCGACTTACTCTTCCATCAGAATTTCCATCTAATTGATGATAACGACGTGAAAGAGTTTCCATCCATGGGCCTATAAAGATTTACATACCTATATGAAATTTCATTATGTAAAAGAGAAAATATCTTTTCATCTTGCTTCACCCTTAACGTATATTATTGAAATAAAACTCAGTTATCCTCAAACAAATGCAATTGAGCACATAATATAAGTTATCGTATAGGTACACCCTGTGTAAGGGGGGGGGGAATATCTAAACGTAATGAATGTTATCATAAATTGAGGGTATTGCTTATCCAATTACGCCAACCAGTTCCGCAAATTTGGCCGGAACCGGAACCAAAAAATCCCAGAACTTCCGTTCTACCGAAATCAAAACGAAACTTCAGTCGAAGCACTAACACACACACCTTGGGGGGGGGGGGGGTTATGTTTGGGTTATTCAACAGAAAAATCCTTAAACTAAGTTAAAATTAACTAACGATCACTTAGTAGAAATTCAGAAAAAGAAATCTGGTCATCATTATTGGCATCCATTCGACGAAATTCTGTTTTTAAATTTACAAAATTAGAATTATTATAAAAAAATTTTTTCCGCCTGTTAATCGAGGATTAAGCATTTCCATAGGTATTGGAGTTATGCCTGCCCCAGCAGGAACGGCAGAGATTAAAAAATATTTATTTAAAAGAAAGATGGAAAATAATATTAATGAGTTTATTTGTATCATTTTCAGTAATTAAAAAAAGCTTTATAAAGTAACTAATGATAATGTTTAAATACGTTATTGAAGGGAAAAAAGCTGGGGCCAACTCTCACCTTTAACAAACCTTGGAGAATTTTTCAGTTAAAGAGGAAGGGCTAGCATTTAAAGCATATAATAGCATTTAAAACGATTACCAGGAGGGAGTCTAAGATTAATTAAAAGAGAAGGTGAATGAAGTCCATGGTAGCAAGGTTAAAGCAAGTGCCCTGGTAGCCTAATCGGTACAGCACAATTTAATGGTGAGCGAAGCGTCTAGAAAGCATGATCGGTAACTTAACTTAAGCATAACCTCTATCTTAATAAAATTAAAATTATGATAGATAGAAGCTACATAATAGTAACTATTCAAAAATGAGGAATCAACTCAACTATCTGTGAATGCCGACTTTTTTGCTTTCATAGAAAACTGGTCGGCGATTTTTTCAATAAAATTACTAAAAATTATGTAATTGTTAATACGTGTAAAGTAAAAATGACGCAATAAAAAATATTTGGGCGGGTAATTTTGCCTAGCTTACATCGTCCAAATAACCTCTGGAAAATCATTTTTCTGAGAATTAACACGAATCTTCCAATCACAAATGAATATTTTTATTAAAAATATATATTGATGAGTTTAATAATAATATAAACTTATCTAATAGTTGTGGAACTCATTATAAGAACCAGAAGATTTAGAGTAAAATGGCCGAACCCATCTTAATAAAAAGCAAATGATCGGATAGGATTTGTTCCTGAGGGTTTTCCGATGAATGCTAAACGGTTAGCCATCCAACCACAACTAACCGTTATTATTTTTGATTATTTGCTTTGTCGAATAATAGATAAGTGATCATTTGATACCCAATAAATAAAGCTACAAAATTATATAAGTTAAAGATTTCAAATTAATATTTGAAAAAATAATTTTCAGAAATATTAATAAAAATATTTTTTCTTAACTAAATTTCTGCCACTGTACAACTCTGTTTAAGCTATACATATTTTTCAAAATTTTTTTGATAAACAAAGGAGTATCAAGCAAACACCAAATTAAAAATACAGCTCTTTACAAGCCACATTTTTTAGCCTCGATGGTTACATTATAATGAGGTCCGATTATATTAATATGATTAATTGGATTAGATTAAATCTTCCAGTTTTTCTGAATATTCTATTTTTCTTCCTTCTCTTCCTTCTCATTTACTTGCTTCTTTTCGCCTTTTTCTTCCAATTTTTCTTCGCTAACCTTGTTCTTCTCCTCTTCAGATTTCAAATTAATTTGAAAATTAATTTTAATTGAAGTTGGCAATTTAAAATTAAAAGATCCTTTCTTGTTACGTAAATATATAAATGACAACTTTAAATAATAAAGGCCATAAAATATTATTACTAACATGAAGAATAAATCCTAAATGAGGAAATTAAAGTTTAAATAATCCTAAATATTTAAAATACCATTAATGGATTTTCTTCCATAGCTACGTTTACCAAAAATAGAAGGGTAAGGAAGTAGGACAAAATCAAATCCTTTTAAAATTAAAGAATTTTAATTGAAGTGTAATTTAAATTAGGGGTGGACAAAATTGGACAAAACGAATTGTAAACATTATACATAAGATACTAAACAAGGGTTTTGGCAAAATAAACTTGAGAATAATGTGGCGGACTGTAGTGACCTCCATAATACCGTATTTCCTCTATTATAATGCCAAGGCATTCTATTTTTTAATGACTTCAAAGGTGTAGCATACGATTAGGGGGTGGCATTCAAATAGAGAATGACATTCTAATAGAGGAAATACGGTAGATTATTCGTCCCTAAACTAGCAGGATTTTTGCTTCGCATATTCAGAATTTTTGACTGCAGCGCTGAAGAGAATTCTGGCATTGGCGCTGAAAAGAATTCAGGCAATACTAGTTCTCCAAAACTACATTAACATCCTTCTTTAATTATCGATTGATTTTGCCCCGCCCCTAAAGGTACGTGCAGGGAAAATAGAAGTGTGATGACTCATCCCAAACCTTTTGCCACTGTCTAAAAATCCACACGACAAAATGGTACAAGACAAAACACCACATGCCAAAAAGCCATTTTTTAAAAATAATTAACTTCCCAGTGGCGGAGTCGATCCGGTGACTCCTAGCCTAAAGGCGGAGACAATACCGACTCCGCCACTGGGAAGCTTAATTAAATTGAATAATTATTTAACTTAAACCCAATTCTTTTTTTTTTGATACCGGGACGCTTTAACTTGCGTGTTTCATCGCGCTCGGTTCAGTGCCTGATTTCGTCGCAACCGGACTTTAAAATGTTAAATGTTCAAAATATCGATTTAAAAATTTGAAAATTTCATGGTCAAGGGTTTCTAAAAATATTAATTCACAGGACATTCAGATCCAATGGGTAAATTATAATGAGTAATCGATCTTGGCAGCCCTACTAGGGGAATATCTTTAATATTGCTAGCAATGGCATTTTCTTGAGTTGAAGTAATTAAACCTCTATTGCGCAAAAATCTAAGAATTAAAACCCAACATAGAATAATCAGAGGTATTAATAATGAATAAATCAATAAAAATAAAAGAATATCATAAGCTATAAACTTATTAGATCCCTTAAAATTGTCATCAACATTTAAAGCGAAAGATATATTATCAGAAATATTAGAGTAATTTTGCATGTTAAATGCCGGAATGATTTTAATAACCAATTATTTATACAAATTCTTTAACCAAGATTGGAATCGGAAACGATATGACGATTATAATCTATCATTAACATTTGATCAAATTCTCCCAAGATAATCATTTCAACGCCACCAGAAGGAATGGGAGAATTAAATTCTAAACGTATACTTGTAGTACCACTTCTAAGCAACTCAAATCCACAAGAGTCGTCAAGTGTTGAAGTCAAAGGTATTACAAAAAATGTCCAGCCATTTTTGAATCGGGACATTGGAATATCGATTGACCGATCGGAGTTAGCCATCCCCAATCCTTCGTACATGTCAACGAAAGCTCGAACAAAAAGATCTTTTTCAAATTTTAGTTTATAAGCAACCATGGGATAAATATGCCCGCCAGTATGAACTGAGATTTCTCTCAAATCAAATGGTTTAAAGTTAAATGGTGAAAGTGTAATATCTCCATTAAATGCCTTGTTTGATACCAAAGCAACCGTGACTCTTTTCGGTATTGTAGCGCTAAAAGCATTATATTTAATTTCTGTGCGCCCCGCGGTTAAAAAGGTTGATTTCATTTCAGTTCTTCTTAGGGCATATGTAGCAGGCTTTGATTCAAGCGTTTTGTAAATGTTCATATTAAGGGATGGTTGTACTTCAATCATTTTAGAAAAAAGTTTAACGTCATGAACATAAAGCCTATACTCATTTTTATCATCAGCTTTAAGTTTATGCAAAACAAATGAATTTTTACTTCTATAGATGCTAAAGTTTATATCTAAGTTATTGAGTAAAAATAATTCCTGGTTTCCCAAATCAAAATCTAATCGTGAAAGAAATTGTGATCTTTTACACCCGGCAAATAGTGAACATCGGTTTATAAATCCCGAATCAAGAGCATCATTATGCTTTTCGCTTTTATAGTACCCAACTGATGCAAGAAAATTAGACTTAACATTGTCAGGAAATGATAACTCATTGGTTATATATGCTTTATATGGATAAAGAGTACCACTATCGTAAACTTCGGTATTACCAACATTAACTTTTAATTGTTGAACGAATGTTTGCCCGATACCTTGAATGGTTCCAATATTTGTATCTTTAGTCGAATCAATATCTTCCCATTTACCTGTATCACCAAGCTTTTCAATAGAAAGTTCAAGATAAAGATAAGTTCTGGAAAGATCTGTCCAGAGATTATCACTGAACAGACGAAACAAATAAGGCGAATCTTGCGTTATTGTGCTAAGGGGTAGAATCTCTCGAAAAAAGGAACGGGTAACAGAAACATTAGTTGGAGGAACGGAAAAAATATTCAGTGCGCTATTTAAGGCCAAAGGACTATTTTCATTAATTTGTTTAGGACAACTCATGTTAGTATGTGCCTAAAGTATCTACTCGTAAACGCTTGTTAGCGGGAATTTTTCTAGGAGATTTTTTCGAAGGTTTCCTAGCAAGATTAGGAATAAAATTAGGAGGGCCAATACGGGAATATGCCCGTTTATTTATAGTCTTAAGCTTTATATCACGTTTTTCATCATTCATTTGCCCCAGGGATGGAGGTTTTTCAATATTTTTGTAACGTTTAAAATCAAAGCCTTTGCCTGTTTGTTTATCAACGTTATCGGCTGCTTTCTGTAATAAATTTTTCAACCCTGTTTTACCTTCACTAATTAGCGATTCTTTGAGATCCTTTCCTTCCAGAACGTTACTTAAAACTTTGTTGCCCGATTCGAGTCCTTGTTTACCTATGGCACTACCAATTTCTTTACCGATAGGTATGAGATAACGGAGAAAACTCCTAAATACTGAACCTAATCCACTTCCTCTCTGGTAGGGAACACCGCGAAATACGTTATACCCACCCCATTGATTAGGCTCGTCGGTCAATGCTGACCAGTTAATATGTGAGGGATCAAAGTCGATATGCATTTTAAGTTGAAAATAAATATTTTTAATAACTATGTATATTAAATATCTTTGATGCAATAAATTCTGTTACAAACTTATCAGCATTTATATTTTTAAGAAATGAAATTATTTCATTCATCTGAAAACCGGAACAGCGCATATAGAGATAAAATACTGCATGGTGACCACACGAGCGCGTAAACATACCCTGAAGTCTAATGGAATTAAATCGAACTCTTTGAAATTTTTCTAAATAATCTCGAATATGGGAGCTCATCGGTGGCCATATTCCCAACGAATCGTAATATTCAATAGTTTTAATGAAATCACAAAATATTGCTATCCAATGTGTCCCGGGTGAATTATTAGGATCTATGTTAATTACCGCACAGAAAGGGGAATAGGTTGACTTATAAGGGATACAGTTAGAGGCATAACAACCGATATAATATTTTTTGGTAACAGAATTTCTGTTTAATATCTTATCAATCTGAATAGTATTCATTATTAAAAGTATGTAGATTTTTTAAAGTGTAATGTTAATGTACATGTTCCATACTGAAAAGGCATCAAGGACCCGCTAGTCGTGCGAATTTCAATTAAAATTTCGGAAATTTCTTTAACAAGTAATTTATGATATTGAATAGAAAGAAATTGTTCCTCAATTATTTCGTCCTGTTTTCCCCGAATGGTTACAATACGGAGAACTGGAGCGGTAATATCCCCAATAATCATTGGTTCAATTAGACCTGGTGCATAAACGTGAAAACAAGAAACCCCTCCTCTCATATCTGGCATAAATTTGGCAACACAAGATTCCTTTAATACTTGTGAATCAAAACCAAGAATATATGCCAGCTGCTCGCTTATTTCAATTTGTTCTATATACTTCTTGTCGATAAATAATGAAAACCTATTTTTATGTGAGTGGAACTCAAAGTCACATGCAAATTTTGGTTTTCGATATACTGTAATCCACGGTTCAAAGCCACTTTCACGAGTCAGTTCAATAATTTTCCTAGTTTCTATAGGCAATTTGTCAATTTCTGCTTTAACCATATCGTTATAAATCTCTGTTTCGCTTCTCAGTTTAGGAATTTCGCCTTCAGGAATAATTACATGTTTTACGGTTGTTACGTTTGTAGATACCTTTTTACTGCTCTGTACAAGTTCTTTTAATTTTTTGTACTCTTCCTTAGCCTTGCTTCGTGTTTCCTTTAATATATTGGTATACTCAATTTGGCAACCGCGCATTTTTTCCGAAAGTGCCTCACTTCCTTCATTAAGAGATTTATCGAGGCTTTGTTTTAAATTTTGAGGGTTAGTTAAACTATTAGAAGGTACTGCTAAACGAACAATCTCACCACTTTTCCAAACAACTGTTATATTTTGTTCGGTTGTAGTCCCAAGTGAAGGCCAGGAATGAGGATAAACCATGACAGATAATCCAACATTCCATTCAGAATTAAATTTTAGTTTATGGGGTAATCTAACTCTAAAAGAATTAGTTCTATTTCCTTCAACATTAGTATTGGATGGAATAATTATATAAAAGGAAGTCATTTTTATTTTAAATATTTAAAGTTTCATTTATGTATATTATCTCCATAGAACAGAGTTAGCAGGTATCCAACTGTTATGTGCAGACCCATAATCCTTCCATTTTACGAAAAGATAATCCACACCATTTCGTTTCCTTTTTCTCAAAACCTTTTCAATGTCATAAATATTTTCATTCTTTTTAAGATCTTCTTTAACGAGAATTAAATCATTCCCATAAAACCAACCAAGAATTTCTTCCCCTTTACGATCGCGAATTTTATAAGTTGGAGGTTGATGAGGAACCAATCGAACTTGGTCAATAATGAAAATTTCATTTGTAAAATTTGGTAGGTATCCTTTTTGGAAAATATGTTTATATTTTTCTATACGAACATTATCCCCAACAGAAAATTTTTTATTTCTCCAACTTGATGGCGCGTGTTTTGTAACTGCCTTTTGTTTTAATAATAATCGCAAACTTTCGGCATTTTTATAATTCACATCAATAGGTCTCATGCCAATACTAGAGTTAAAAGAACGATTAATGGACAAAACAATTTTCTGGATAACGTCTAGCCATTTTAAAGTTTTATTCTCTGTAAAATAACGGTAAAGTCGCTCTTTGATACTACGATTAGCCCTCTCAGCCATTCCTGCATGCCATACTGGAGAGGTGAGCATTGAAAAGTGATCCATATCTATTGAGCGAAAATATTTTTGTACAAATTTTGCAGTAAATTCTAATCCCTGATCTGTTAAAAGTTTCCAGGGTATTATTCCGACCCGAGAAAATAATTTTTTAAAAGCGTCGATCATATTATTACTATGTTTACTTTTTACTGGTTCAACAAATATTTGTCGGCTAAGTGTATCAATACATACTAATAAATATTTGTATCCACGATTATGTTTACTAATTTTATCAAAAACACTAAGATCGGCCTGCCATTCTGTGTGTAAGCCTGGAGCTAGTGTTGGCATGCGCTTATACTTTCTAACTACTCTTCTATGTAATGTATAAACATTTTGGCTTGCAAGATAATCTCTCACAATATTTCGAGAAATACTTTTATCTAATCGCCTTGCTTCCTTTAAAAGTGGTTCAACGGATGTAAAACATGAAGTCGAATTAACATTCTTGTATAACTTGTCAAGAATTTTAATTTTGTTTTTATTTAATTTTGCCATAATGTTGGTTTATATGAAAATGTGTGTTTAAAAAATCCTTCGCCTTGCTGTTTGCTAGTTGAAGATGTAGAAGGAAAAAGTATATTTTGTAAAATTGAATGACTATTTATTCTACGAATAAACTCATCATAACCGGTAGGGATTGGCCTTTTGCGTTTTCCCTTATTTTTAATTATATAGCTTAAAATCTCTTCAATATTACTTGTGACAAAGGATTCTTGTGTGCCTAATCTCCTGGCTAACTTACCACTGGGCAATATGCCAAGTTCATTAGCATGATCTCTCAAATATTGACGAGCTTCTTCTTTAGGATTCGCTTCACTATCTGCTGAAAAGAATTCTTCACCCTCTTCATTCTCAATTCCATCAGAATTTTCTATCTTTACTGTTTGATTTGGAAATTTGACTCTCCTTCTTAATGTAACTTTACCAATTGAGTTTCTTTTTGGTTTTCTTATTATAATTTTTCTAGAATTTTTATTTTTATTAATCTCGTCTTTTGTTTCCACTGGACTTTTATTTAAATCGACATTTTTAGTTACGGCATCAGCAATTTCTTCAAAATTTTTGAGTTTCACATCAATAGGCTTCTCTTCCTTTTCTTTAATAAGCTTGTTATACCTTTTAAAATCCTGCTCGTAACGAGCTGCTCTTGTTGTAGGATCTAATGAATTATTGATTGCACTACTGTTTTGTAAACGTTCTTTTATTAATCCTAAGGCCGTTCCGTCTCCATCCCTATCAGTTCTATTACTAACTAAACTTTCAAAAAAATCCTCCGGAATTAATATCATTCGCTTCATTGTTAATTAAAATTTTTATTATCAAATTTTATTTATATTATTTAAAAATTTTGTCGGTAATTAAAGGTAAAACTAGACTTGCAAGAATGCCCGCTAAAGGATAAATCCCGTTTCCTTGTTGCAATAAACATCGTGTTGAGGAAGCACTTCTAGATCTACTGATTTTCCTCAATATATTTGCATGTTTTTGCAAATTAATAATTCTATTTCTATGAAAAGGTAAACGCCCCTTTAATAAATTAAAACAGATTTCAACGAAGCATAACAACTGTTCAGCGGATGCATTTAATAATATATCATTGATTACCTTTCTAGATTTTTTAGATTCGCAAACTGAATTTAAGAAATTTACATTTTTCTCAATTAATTTGCTTGTAGAAATTTTTTTATTCATTTTGGAATATAAACTATAGTTTTTTCCCCCGTATTATAATATATATGTGTTCGAAGTCGTAAAAAGTCAGGAGTACTAGGATGTATATCGACTAACAAATATCCAAAGTTTTCTTTTGTAGCATCAGAATATGATTCCAGAAAGTATCTCGATCTGGAGGGGAACAATTGCGTTGCAAGTGTTCTAATTTGCAAAGCTCCTGCAGGATTTCGCATTAATAAAAGATAATGAGAATTATTACGGGAAACTTTTAATTCTTTACTGAATAAATGTTGTGTTATTAATATAACACTCATTTGCCAGTTATGCGAGCCCTTAGTGAATATTGTATCTAAAAATATTTGGTTCATCCCAACCATTAAATCATCTAACACTAGTAACATTCTTCCATTCCTTGCTTGTTGTTTTATAAATTCATTTCCCCCATTAAGCAACCCATTATGAACAATAACTTGTGTTTTACCTTTATTTACAAAACCCTTACGTTGCATATTTATAATATTAGAATTTAATTCACCATAACAATAAAAGACTAAATCAACTTGATTATGTTTTTCATTTTCATAAGTAACCATTTCCTCCAAATTTTCTAGCAAATTTTTAACCCATTCTGATTTTCCAGACCCTGTGCTTCCGGATACTATCATAGTGAACGGGTGTTTAAAACAAGTGTGCATAATATTAACTTTTTCAAATCCATTCATTTTTATCTAATATAAAAATTAAATTCAGAATATTATATATAGAAAGATTGAATTTTATATTATTATTTGAAATTATGGAATTTTATAATCTCATGCCTTGGGGTGTTATTAAAGACGATGCGTCTCCTTCAAATACAAATCATACAACAATGCAAGCTAATCAAGAAGCCAATGAGACAGATAAAAAGGTACAAAATATTTTTATAAATTAATTAAAAGAGCACATTTTTTTAGAATGAAATAGATGTAATTACACCTGCTTTTGGATTGCTTAACATAGTGGAGGATCTAACCGAAGAAAAGGAAGACGATGTTGAAGATGAAAAAAATCTAGATACAAGTGAAAAATTATTTCGTATGTTTATAGACGATAATGAGGATAAACCATTAGATTGGACTGCAGAACCAGAAAATCCATTTCGAGAACCAACACCACAACCATCATTAACAAACATACGACCTATTAATGGAATAACAACTAAGCAACATGCTCGAACAAATAAAGGCTCTATTCCTCTACTTGATTATCTTTGTGAAATAAAAAAATGTTCGCTTAAAGAACTACATGTGCTTTTTCATAATCTCGAAGTTCGGCGTGAACTTATAGAAAATTTGCAACAAAATGTCCAAATACGTACTTCTCATCTAAAGCCGAGTTATAAAAATTTCAATGTCTATTGCCATGATTTAACAGCGCAATCTGCAAGTAATGTTCTGGCCATGGGTGGATATCTTGGAATAACGGTAAATTATTATGAGCTTTTAAATAAGATTGTATTTTTCTTTAGGTTCGCGGGTACTACTACGTCAAACACAAACTCAAACTCTGCCATCCATATTTACCTTGTCTTATTCAATTTGGAGGAGGGCATCATCGATCATTTTATCCTCTTGAATGTCTCAGTGTTATCCGTTACAAGATGAAAGGAGGATGTTCATAGAAAGATATTTAATTTTAAAACTTATTAGAAATTTTTTATTATTCAATAATTTTATTTTTAGTATACATAAAATATTGTATTTTATATTTCTGAAAAGTAAATATTATGCAAATCGAAAATTGTACTGCTGTTTTTAAACTTCTTCCTTATAATAAAAGATTTTCTTATGAAAATTTTATTCAACTTGCACGTCATGGGATAAATACAGAATATAATCCCCGACGATTCCATTCAATAATTATGCGAGTTCGGCATCAGGAATATAAAACAACGGCAGCACTTATTTTTCAATCTGGCAAAGTTGTTCTAACTGGTGTTCCTAACCCTGCATTGGCAAACAGAATGGCTTGGCGTGTAACCAAAAGAATTCAAGCTTCATATAAGGCAACAGGCAATGACTATTCCTATTTAAAAATTGGTGTGAGGAATCTTATCGTTACAAATATTGTTGGTGCTTATCGACATCCAAAAAAGTTGGCAATAGAACAACTATATTCTTATCTTCGTAAAAGACAAAATATAACTTGTTATTACGAACCAACAATATTTCCAGCACTTCGTTTTAAAACCAAAATAGAAGGAAGGGATGGTGAAGCCTCCTGCCTTTGTTATATTTCAGGACGTGTAATACTAACAGGATTAAAATCTCAAAAAGAAATGGAATTTATTTTTGAAAATGATATACTACCATTGCTTGAAAAATTTCCACGATTATAAAATTTATTAAAAAATAAAATATTTACAAATAATATCAGCATAAATTTTTGTGGTGTGGTAAACAAACAAAAAATTTTTACAAAATTATTGATGATATCTAGTTAAATAATCACGATTTGTCCAGTTTGATGAACCTGGAACATCTTCTAAATTGAGAATAGAATCGTCTACCTGTCTAGTTTGCGGTTCAGCATTATGAGGTTGTTCAGGTTGTCTTTGTCGTTTTTGTCCAAGATCATTCTGAATTTTAATTTTTTTTAAAAGATATTTAAAGGAAAAATACCGGAATTTCTCTGAATCCAAATGGAAGTGTTTCCATCCCCGGCATTATTCTTCCCTTTTCATAATACGGTCTATATTGCTTTGTTGTCATGTGCGTATAAAGCTGTGATCTTCGAGTTCTGCCAATCTGAGGCAATTGCACACATATTGAATTGCCATTTCCACCAGTCCTGTTGAAGATGTCATCAGCAAGCGCTTCATCCCTAATTGAAAAATTTGTTTTATTTAAATAAATGATTAAATTTTACATTATTCCATCAACATTAAATTGTTCAAGCACAATATTCTTCATGCTGTCAAAATTCAGTAGTTGATGTGTAGCATATGAGAGAGGAAAAGACCGGATCTTTAGCTCTGCTCTCTCATCCATCCCTGTATTTGTGTCGACGTGTCTGTAGCCATAGTTCTTTGGGCCTCCAGCAACAAATTCCAAAATTCGACGTGAAGGAATTTCACGTTTCATTTTTCCAAGTGATTCGCCTTCAGGTAAACGTGGACCATCAAGCTTCCCAACATAGATTTGGGAATCAGTGTCGCAATACAGGAGACGGCCACCAATTTCATAAACTTTTTTCATATACTCATAGAGATGTAAACGAGCATAAGAAGTCACAAACGCTGCTACAGGAATACAGTTGGTATTTGGTGCCTTGGCAAATTCTGCCTTTCTCCGGACTACACATCGATCCAAATGCTCACTAACATGATCAAAATCGAGCATTTCTGTTGTTGGATCCTCAAATAATTGATGAAATTCTGCGGGTGTTGTGGCGTAACGGACTTCGGTTCCACAAACACGTTGTGCAAGTTTCCCCCAAAGAGAGTTTGCCAATAATTTCTAAAATATTTTATTTAATCAGACAATATAATTAAAATATACCGCAATCATTCGAAGACCTGGATTCTTCTCAATACGATCTGGATCTAAAGTAATACCCTCAGTTCGTTCATACTCTTGTAGATATTCAGATTTATTCAATTGAGTTACACATCCCTCCGGCCAGCCACTTGCCATTTGCTTTAGCCTCACGAATGTGTTGACATATGATTGGAATAGTTTGTTGTCCCATTGGTCATAATTCCAAACCTTTAATTTTATTCAAAATATTTAAAAAATAATTTAGTAACCTCGTAAATATCCACAACTTTATAGCCGTGTTCCAGACCAGCATTCAGCTCCACATGAGTGTAGCCAGTCAGCCAGGAACGCTCACGATTTGAATGAGTGCAAGGCCTCTGTTGTTTATCATCGGCGCATCTTGCACAAAGTGGGAATGTGAGTCGGCCATCATGGGTTCGATAAGGTAGGAGCGGTGGAAGATTTCCAGGCAAGCATGTGGGAGGTTCTATTTTGACAAGAAGTAAACCCTTGTAGATGTTGTGCTCTGGAATTGTCCAGGGCAAAGGGTTGTTGTTGTTTGATTGATCAAGCAATGTTTCACGAGTCAAAACGTGAGGATGCCCAACTGGAAAGGGCCTTGACTTCATCACATAGGGATAGAGACTTACCTAAATTTTAAATGTTAAAAATTTAATCAATTAAAAAATTACAATATCGATGTAGATAATTTCCTCATCTTCGCCACAAAAGTGATGAAGTTTGAACGGCTCTGTCCTACCACCTCGAAGACAATCTTCTCTTGGATCAAGAGGTCGCACACAATCAATTTCAAGCCATTGATGGCGCAACTTTGGATTGTTTCTTAATTTTTCCATCATTTCATGGCCCCAAATTACGTGAAGTTCAAATCCGTGCTGGTTTTCCAATTCCCAAAGACGTTGTTGTGTCCGCTCATAAAGTTCTTCAGCAGTACGGCCAGCGGCTAAACGTTGATCACGACGAGGGAAGCATCTTGGACAGCCTAAATAAAATGTTTATACAAAAAAATCTATTTTAAAGTACCGTGGAAGTAGCAACCCATGTATTCAATTGCTAAAGGGCGTTGTGGTGGAGATCTCTGCCAAAGACCATCCAATCTATACCCACAATCTTCCACATGTGCTTCTCCCATTGCCCACTGTGCATGCTGAACCTTTCCTGCTGCTTCAGGATTTTGTTGTTCAAATAAGCGGATGTAGCGCTGCGATTCAGCAGAGGCACGCCTTCCTCTCAAATAACCTCCCTCAGGCGAATGGACGAGCCAATTTTCAGGCAGGAAGCAGCGGCGCATAGTTGTAAGAGCTAAACCAGCAATTGTTGATGCTTCCAAGAAAGGATCTAGCCTCTGCGCGTGCTGGCCAATAAGTTGTCGAAATCGGAGAACTCCTTCACGGAGAATAGCAACATCATTGGCACAATAAAGAATAAGTTGTTCGCGTAGTTGGAAATTGGTTGTTTCATCATTCAATTGTTGTTGATACCATTCGAGAAGTGCATCTCTCTTAACAGAATTCTTATATTCTGGTTGATAGTATTGAAGTGGCGGAAGTCCCCGAATTCTCTCATGAAGATGTTGTCTTTTTATGAATAAGTATGGAAAGAATGGCTTAGATGTTGCTACTTCTTCGGGTACAGAAAAAATTTTTGTTAGAGCATCAAGCTCGCAACTGAAGTAATTTAGCGAGTCTTTGAAAAGTACTTTTCTTTTGTTGTTTCCAGTTAATTTCATTGAATATATTTTAAGGCCGGTTGTACATAATCTTGATGGTGGTTCATTTCGCCTGTGTAAAGCCTCAAGCACTAAGTGAAAGTCGTATTTGCCACCATTATGTGCGATACAAATTGTTAGCATTTGCTTTGAACCGTGTTGAAGAAGATAATCAAGAAATTGATCCACAGGGCTTTCATTAGCGTTGTCAAAGGAATGAAAGAACATACGACGTGGGTTAAATGAAATATTATTTGGAAAGCAGGTGTTGTCGCCATTAGAATTTTTGAAAGGTGGTGAACACCAATTACGCCATCTATCACCTCGGGGTTGTCCGCAAAAGCATCCTGCAGCACGTTGGCCCACATCCTCAATATTAATTCCGGCTTTTATACAGTTTTCACAAATTACCTAAATATAAATTTTTATTACGGATTTAAATTTAAAGAAAATTTCATTTTAAATTTTAAAAAATTTTTTAATATTACCTCTGCAATTATAAGTATTGGAACATGTTTATATCCATTAATATTGCAGCTAATTTGTATATTTTCATCCTGGGTTGTTTCAGCATCAAAGAAACATAAGCGAATTGGAGATTTTCGTTTCTTTTGTCGTTGTTGTGGGTGTTGTTCTTCAACATCTGAATCTTCATCTTCTTCAGCTCTTAAAGGCTGGATATAACAAGGTAATTCCTCTAAATGAGGACCCCGGCATTTTTTACAAATTAAATTTTGTTGTTGTTGTTGTTGGCATTCGTGTTGTTGTTGCCGATATATTATCAGGTGACATTTATTACAGATACGCCTCATTTGACAAATGGAAACAAAAATACGGCTAACACGCCTAATAAATTCTTCTGGAGCATCATTTATTAAATGGTAATCAAAACAAGAACGATTAGGAAAAACAAATCCACAGTCCTGACATAAAACTTTTTCCTCAATCTAAAATTAAATTTTAACAAAAAGATGAATATAAGTATACCTGACATGGAAAATTGACACCGGACCGCATGCAAAACCGGCACACAACACAACATCCAGACCAGTGAGTCCAGCGTGTATAAGACCGTTCACAATCGATACAAAAGCGTTGTACTGATAAAAGTTGTTCAGGGCGGCCAATATAGTGGTAATGTTGATTTTCAAGAAGTAGACACAGATTATGTCGTGCAGCTCTGCCATTACCCTTGTAGACTATTCGATATTGCTGTTCCTTTTGAAAAACAACAATACGAACATAGCCTTCATCATCAAAATATTCGTTTAACCAGCGTTGTAAAATTGCAACATGTTCCAGCGAATATTGCTAAAATAATTAAAAATATTTTAATCAAATATCCCTCTAATAAAAAAATTGATAAAGTAGTTTAAAATACCATAAGTCCGAATTCAAGTCCTGCCCTTCGCATTAAATTTTCTGCTTGAAATAAATGTTGTTGCTGTTGTTGGCAAAATTCTTTAAATCTAGCGGCTCCGTTGGCAACGCCTTGATCCACCATCCTAATTCTTGCCAAACCGATAACTACTGCACGAGCAAGGCAGTATCTGTCGTTAGGATTGTGGACGCGCACAATCGATCGGCATCGGGATGATAAGACATGGTCGAGTTCCAAATCACAACTACCTGTAGGAAAATAGCAGCCTTATATTTACTTTAAAAAATATAAGACTATTATCGACCTACCAGATCGGGCATCGGGATTGTTTGTACGTTGGCCAGTCAAAGGCCAAACAGCGACGACTTTTGTAACTGTTGTTCCACTTAACAAATCTATGCCAGCGGCAGAGATTTCGTTCAGTCGTTCAATCGCTGCGGCCAAGGCTGCAGGATTATTCTGGTCCAGTGGGCGAAGTGGAATTGTAAATGCATGTTGGAAATTCGGTGGATGCACCTGAAGACCAACACGAAGGGGTGCTGGTCTTCCGGCGAGCACCCGATCTAGCAAATGACTTATTAGAACGGTCATTGCTAAATCGGGTCTCTGTTGATCTTCAAGCGGGTTGAATCGTATATGGCAAATTTGGCCAAAAGTATTTCGTGAGCGTGAATTGAATTCGGTGACTCGCTCAATTGTGAAGTAGTTGTTGTTCATGTTAATGTCCTGAATTTATATTATTATTATTATTTATCCATTCATTTAGTTATTTATTAAAAATCCATAAACAGATTGGCACACCTAGACATTAATCCTTGTATACCCCTTAGAGCGACGACGTGGGTTTTAACTACTTAATATTGATTGAAATGGAAAATTAATAACAAATAATTTCATAATATTTACTTAAAATAATTTAAAAACAATTTATAGCTGAAACATTAACTATTTAAGGCAATAAAGATAAAGGCTAAAATAATTTCAGAAATTTAAGGTTTATATAATTAAAGTTAAAAATAAAATAAATTAAAAATATTAAAATTAAAAAATTAAAATATTGAAATATTAAAAATATTAAATAAATTAAAATTAAAAATAACAAAAAAATATTGATAATCAAGCTTTTTTTTTTGAAAATATTTATAATATAATTTTTAAAGAGATATATTTATTATAAATATTTTGCAAAAATTTTAAAAAACATTTAGATATAAAAAATTGAGATTTGGACAAAAATATTATATAATTAGATAATAAAAAATATATAATTTTTATAAAGTTAATTGAAAAATGAATTTTTTAAATTATATATTTTTTAAAATATTACACCTAAATACGACCCAAGACTTAAAATAACGTATAGTCCAATAAAAACTTAATACCGATTTAGAACTAGACTATTCGTTATTTTCAGTCCTAGGCCCCATCTCTTGACGACATAACGGACAAAAATTAAAATTTCGTGATAAATTCCAAAAACATTTGCGATGGATTTTATGATTACATTGTAAAATAATAATATTTTGCTCTGGGGCGAATTCCATATTGCAAGGTCCACACAATGTCCCGTCAGAAATAAAATTACTAGGCAATTTAATGCTTGAATTCATTATTGTATCTCTTCGAGCCATTGATAACCCACCAGGCGCAATATAGTGATCGGATACATGACCTTGACCTCTATACATTTCAGCAAATTCTCTTTCCTCATCACGAATTACACGTGGAATAGAATAATTAAGAGGGGGTGGTGTGTGCCCGGCCGTGCTCAAAATATCACGCAACTAATAAAAAATACACTTATATATTTTAATTTAATTACCCGAATTGGTTGTTGAACATTTCTACTTGCATTTTGTTCAGAGGCCGAGGACTGAAAAATTAATGTTTTATTTAAATATAAAAATTAAAAAAATTAGATACACTTGTATATTTTAATTTAATTACCCGAATTGGTTGTTGAACATTTATACTTGCATTTTGTTGGGAGGCCGAGGACTGAAAAATTAATGTTTTATTTAAATATAAAAATTAAAAAAATTAGAATTTAAAAAATTTTAAAATTTTTTTAAATTTTAGAAATTTTAAAAATCAAAAAAATTTTTAATAATTAAAAAAATTTTTAATAATTAAAATTTAAAAATTTAAAAAAATTTTTAAAAATTAAAAAGATTTAAAAAATTTTTTAAATTAATAAAAAAATTAAAATTTAAAAAATTTTAAAAATTAAATTTTTAAAAATTAAAAAGATTTAAAAAATTTTTTAAATAATTATAAAAAAAAAATAAAAAAATTTTAAAAATTAAAAAGATTTTAAAAATAAAAATTTTTAAATTTAATTAATTTATTAAATTTTTTAAATAATTTTTAAGCATAAAAATATATAATTTAACTTATCTAATACTTTTTTAAACTATGAATAATTATTTCTATCATCAGTTTAGCAGTAAATTTAATTTAATTTAATTTAAAGCTAAATTCAATAATAAGAGAAATTTAATAAAATTTTTTGTTTTTAATATAAAATTCATATTCAAAAATTCATATTTAATTTTATTGAAAAATCAATAATAAAAGATAAATCAAACCTTTAAATAAAGTAATGATTAATATTCTATAATAATTTATTAAATGAATTGTAAATAAATTTTTAATTATATTTAATAACAAAATTTATATTTAATAAAAATTTATATTCAATAAAAATTTCAAATTTAAATTCAAAAATTCAAGGATAAATATAATGATAAATATTATATATCTTTTTAAATGAAATATTAAAAATTTATTTTTTTTATGTAATTTATTTTTTAAATTAAATATATTCAATAGCAAAATTTATGTTTAATAAAAAATTTAAGTAAAAACATTAATTTTATTCAAAAATTCAATAATAAATTATAAAATACAATGTTAAAGAAATTTATAATTATATTCAATAACAAAATATATGTTTAATAAAAATTTATATTAAATGCAAAATTCATATAAAGTTTTATTGTAAATTCAATAATAAACGTAATGATTAATATTTTATAATAATTTATTAAAAGAAATATTAAAATAATTTTTAATTATATTCAATAAAAAATTCATATTAAATTTTATTATATAAGAAGATCTATGTAAATGAAATATTACAAAAGTAAATAATATTTAAAAATATTAAATTAATGATTTTTATTGAAAAAATTTTTTATTGAGAAATTGAATTACAAATTTAAATAATTAGTTAATGAAAATTTGAATTTTTTAAATTAAAAGTGAAAATCGTAAGTTTTTTTTTTCAAAAAATTTAACCCACATATGCCACATCATCCTCTTCTTCATCTTGAGCAGGATATCTTAAAATAGGAGAGAGATCGAGCTGGTCTGGAGCAAGGTCTGGATTTTTCCTGTACCCAGAGACCAGACATAGACATTTTTTAACCTTCTTGGGGTTTTCATGGACTACAGGCCCAGGTGTGTAAATTCAAGCCAAAAATACAGGAACAGTCCAAGGCTTTTTAAAAACTTGATCTCTAACGCATAGGCAGCTCCACAAATCAATTAAAAATGTATATTTAATTAAGATGTATGTAGCAGTATCAGGTGCATATTATAGTGAAACCATGTATTATAGTATACTTAATTTATTACCATTAATGAAGAAACTGCAGCTTTAAATAATTTTTTGGCAAAACAATGGACAATTAAGGTAATTAAGCCAAACACAGCCAGAATTACTTGACCTGAGGCAAATGAACCATCAATGTTATTGTCATAACGCTCTCCTGTTGCCCAATAAGTGCCAGACCATATAAGCCTATTTTTTTCAGTCACAACTGATCCAACAGCCAACAATAACAATAAAAACTTGAATAAAAATAATTATTAAATAACGGGTAAAGCTATTAATTGTCCGGAACCAATATGTGGTCGAATAAAATCGAATTCGAGGTTAATGAATTTGATTAAACCAAAGTTTTGCTTCAATTATCTAACAAGAAACCTAAGAAAACATCAATTTACCCAATTTATGATTTTAAGCGCTCGATAAGGCCAAAATTTGTTGTATATTTGGACATAATATTTGTTATCATTCCCAATCAAGCTATATCCTCCACTTTCTTCAATGATATTTTCTTTGTCATTTTCGGATTCTTTTCTTGTTATGTTTGCCTCGTTACTTATTTCATTATCTTTTTCTTTATCAATAGTTGATAATTTGTTGGTTATTAAATTAATATCTGATGGAACTACTGTCATTATTTTTTACTAAATTATACGAAAATAAATACCATATTTCTGAAATAGTACTGCCGACAGACCCTCCTCAAAGGCAGCACTATTTCATGGGGCAGCACTAATTTAGGAGGTATTACTAATTTAGGAAATACGGTATTTTGGTTTAGTAATTTTATAATTTATTGGAAAAAATTATTTAGGTTGTTATGTAGTAACAACCTAAATATTTCTAATATTTTCTGGTCTAGAAAGGCAATGATTTAAAGGGATCTACAGTACTGAAATGTTAACACCCAAATATTGCACTACCGACTGAACGTTTCATTTTTTGCGTTATTTGCTTGGTCAAAAGAAAATTCGAAACTTTAAAATGTAAACATAAAATAATAATAAATATATCATATGATATATTTATTTTCGACACAAAATAAAATTGGCAGGGTTGTTTATAAAAAGCAAACAAAATTCAAAAATATTACTTATATTATACAGCGAAACAGCTGCTTAATAATACATAAATATACTCAATAAATAGATAAGAAACAAAGCATATGAAAAAAAGAAAATAAAATACATAAGTTGAGTGGGGCAGGATAGAGTTGCAATTTTTATGTAAACTCGGACAAAGTCCTGTGTGTTTTTTGAGTTTTTTGGCCTAGTTTTCTGCCTATGTGCAACTATATTCGTCGAAATTCTGTCAGCTAATTTGAGAACTTCCGTTACTTAGAACGATGTTTACTATTCACGTGATTTAACGATGATTCCGGCGATACAAAACCTAATTAAAATTGTACCGTAAAGAAAATTTGAGAAAAAAAGGAAAAAAATAACTAATTTTTAACTTTTTAATATTTACTTAAACAAAGGTAATTGGTTAAAAAAAATTATTACATTGTTATAATATTTTAAAATTTATTTATTAATTAAAAATTTTAATATTTTAAAATTAATAATTTACAATAGTTTTTGCATTTTTAAAAAAAATATTCGAATTTCCTTTATCACATTCATCTTGATTTTAGTTTTCATTATTGTCTTTAATTAAATTTTTATAAAGCTCAAAGTTATTTGTTTCAATTACCAACTTCTTTGCATAATTCAAACCTAATATTTTATTAATGGGATAAGTGTTGATTTTAAAAGATTTTCTGCTTATTTTGTCTATTGTTTGTGTCTGAACCCGGACCGAGACTAGATCTCGGCCTAATTTCTAATTTTGGCCAGAACCGGAATTTTTTCCTGATATCAACTCGATCTTGTATTCCAGTCTGTATTAAAGACTGAATGTGATATCGAAAATTTTTTTAAGGGTTTGGCAGACTTGGTAATGTACATTGGTTTTGGTTTTCGTATCCGGAGGCCTGCAGATATCCGCAGGCATTTTGAAATTATCTGTATCCATTTCCGTATCCATTAACAAGTCTGGGGCTTGTCATTAAAATAAATAATCTGTTAATTTAAGGTTGAAGCTCTAGCTAGATATATGTATGTAGTCAAAACAATAGGGACGTAAAATTTGCCACTCTTGTAAATTAATTAATTAAGAAAAGACCTTCTTCTACAGACTTTAATTCTTTTTCTAAATTATTTTTAAATTCATTATTCTGATGAATAATTTCTTCATTAATGATCAAGTCATTAATATTTTTAGGATTATTAATTTCCTCAAAGAATTTTTTATATTTAATTAATTCAGCAATTAATTTATTTAATTTTTTTAAAACATATTCTTTATTATTTTGTTTTATTTTTTTATTTATTCCAATTAATTTAGTTAATTCTTCATTTAGTTTAATATATTTTAAAAAATATAATGCCCCAAGTTTTAGTTTCTTTTCTGAATAATTTAAATTTTGATTATTCTCAGAAGTTGGTAATTCTTTCTAAAAATAAAAATATTTAAATATTATATTATGTTTGTTATTCCCTCTATATCATCTACCTATATTCCCTTAATAATCACAATCAATCTAATCCCTTTTGAGCTTCACAAATCCTTCTATGTCCCTCTTATTTACCTCATTTCTTTCGATATCTTCCTAAATCCCTCTATATACCTGTTAATCCTCCTAAATATCCTTCTAATCCTTTTATATCCCTCTATGTGGATTCAACTGAGGGGACTCAACAATTACTCAAAAATTAAATATTTGTTGGGAAGTTGAGCTTATTTCAGAGGATGGCTCATTTTAGAGAGAATATGGTAGATACATGAGTAAAATTCTTATTATAAGCAAAGAATTATCAAAAAAGTACAACCTCCAATTTATTTATTTCATCTTCAAAATGATTTATTAAAAATTTCGTTAATTTAATAAATCCTCCATTTTCCAATTTTAATTTTTCTAATAAATTTAAAGATTTAAATGCATCTACAGCCAAAAATAAATTTTCTTTTTGGGCATTTTCATTCATAAATGAAATTAAAATTAAAATATTTTTAAAATTATTCCTTTCATTTTCTTTAATTTTATCCAAATATTTAATTTCAATTCCAAATTCTTTGGCATTTTTAATTTGTTTATTTTCTTTTAAATAATTTTTGGCCATTTCTTTTGCCAAATTCACATTTTCTTTTAAATTTTCTTTTTTTAAAGATTTGGTAAAATTGTAATAATAATCATTTTTCTCGTACCAGGGCTCGTTAATTGCCTTAATTTTTGTTGAAAATTTGTTGGAGAATTTTGAACTTCCAATGCTTGAAGGAGCAAAATTTGTTGGAATATATTTTTTATTTCCAAACATTTGAATATTAACTATAAAAATAGTTAAATTATACAAGAAAATATAACACTAGAAAAGAACTCCGAAACTATTTTGGAATTTTATATACTCGCTCTCTACCAGTACACTTCGGTACTCCTATTATCACTCCTATGTTCACAGGAATTTTTGTAGAATTTTTGGAGCATTTTAAATCGAAAAATGTTAGGGTGCCTTATAATTTTGTTACACCTATTTTAGTGAAAAAGCGTCATAAAAAAATTTAAACTCAACATAAAATGATAAAACTTTGGAAATAATGGTTTATTATCAGGTTAATTAATATATAAAAATTAATAGTTGATATGAATAATAAAAGCTAGTAATATGGAAAAAATTTTGGGTGCCTTATAATTTTATTACACACCATAGTTGTAAATTTAGATGTCGAAAATCGAGTATCTAACAGACTGTCAGGGAATAAATTTACTTGAATTAGGAAGAAATATTCCGGACTTCAGACCAAGCAAAATACACATATCGTATATCCTTTAATAACTACCCTGGTTAATTAATGTTTCGACCTTCCGCTGGAGGGAGTAATTAATCGAGGGAGGTTAATTATACGAGGTTTGACATTTGAACGTGTTTTAGGGCATTTGTTGGGGGTAATTATTGTTTCAATATATCGCTTGATGGGGGTAATTAATGGAAGTGAGGTAATTATTTGAGTGAGGGCAATTAATACAGGTTATACGGTAAAATAACAAAACTCCACATTTAGGCCTATAGTCGAACCCAAGAGAATAAAACGAACTGCACACTTATGCCGTAATTTAACCTGATAATAAAGATTGTATCCGGAAAGAGTTACTTAAAATCATGTTCTAGGACTTGATTAATTCCCAAATTTAATTATCCTTACTAATTTAAATAAATAAATTTACGAGGATTTTTTATTGTATTTTGCATCATATTCATTGAATTAATTTCTTTAATTATTAAGTTAAAAATCAAATAATAATTAACAATTTTAAGAAAATTAAATAATTTGGAGAAAAGCATTTCTCGATTTCGATGATCGAGAATTGTGCTATGATTTGGTTTCTGGAATGAACAATTATACCTTTACTATATTATTACAACTTAAAGTTAATTTTTTGCTTATTTATATAATCTTCCAGTTTAACCTAAATTATATGTATTTACATCATTATTATTAAATTGATATTTCTAAGCATGATAATAGCATAATAATTCTTATTAATATAATTACATCATCTTTATTAATTTATAATATAACATATATTTTGAAATAACTAATTTATAAATGAATTAATTTTGAATTGTTTTAATTACCCCACAACTATTAATATAACGATAAATGGCAGGCCGAAACTTGCGGACCGACTTTTGCGGACCGAAACTTGCGGAGCCGACGAATTTCTCAAAACATTTTTTCGAACGTTAAGTAAATTTTTCTGCGATTTTTATATACAGGGTGGGGCAAAAGTTCGGCGACAAATTTTATTTTGTCCTATCTTATAATTTACTTTATATTTTGCATTTTGTTTAGTTTTCCCATATTCTATGATTCACGCTCTACAAATTTTATCTTGAAAATTTTTTCCTATCACATAAAGTAAAAATTTTACTGAATGTTAAAAAATCGTGCTTCTATTATTTCTTTGTATTTTAAAAAACGGGCGAAAATGTGCATCGCTAGACGGCTCGATATCTGACGTATGTTGTTTTCCAACGCAATAAAACGATATCATGAGCTTGGAAATACTCAGACCGTCCTAGTAGTGACCGGCCGGTAACCGAAGTTACGACTGAAAACATGAACGGACGTCAGATGCCGAATTTTCCGTTTTTCTGAACAATCGATGTGAAAAACGACCTCAGATCTCGGAATGAGCTCGAGGAGCCTCCTAAAAATTGTCAAAGTGAAGCTAAGACTTTGGAGTTACAAGATCAGCCGCTCATATTTCCTTAGCAATCGAATGAAGCATAAGAGACTTCAAAAATGTCGAAGGATTAAACGCTTGGTCGCAGCTGATCGCCATAACAGAGTGATGACTATAAAAATTAATGCTACAGTCTAAAAAATGACATTCTGAGGGGTTCTTGGGGGAAAGATTTAAAGGCTTCAAACTCACTGGATTTAAGTCATTGGATTATTCTATTTGGGCATTTCTGGAGCAAAAAGTATGCCGAATCCGATACGCAACATCGGAGGAACTAATGTTGTTTTGGAGCGAGCCTGGAACGAAATAACCGATGAACAATGCGCGACCATTGTGAGTAACATCCGTAAGTGTTTGGATGCGTGTATTTCAGTCAGGGTCGGTCATTTTGAGAAATTACTTTAATAAAATCATTAATATATCCTATTGATTATATTTTACCATTTTTTGATCTTAAATAAAATTTTTTTACAATAGATTTCATTAAAAACATTTGTCGCCGAACTTTTGCCCCACCCTGTATTTTTTAATTGGTTAAATTTTTTGAGAAAATGTAATTTTTCTTTTTTTCTGTAAATTAGATAAAGTATAAGAAAAATGAAAATAATGAAGTTCGAGTTAAATGTATTTTTTCTGAAAATAATAATTCTGAAAAAATTCGAACATTATTTTCATTTTTTTCAAAATTTTTTCTGTTTGTTGCATCAGATACAACAGATCTGAATTTAAAACTGTTGCAACAATTTTTGGAGAGTATATAAGGAGAAAATTTTCACTGATTCATCAGTTCTTCGTAACTCAATCAGTTCTCTGGTTGAATGACAAATTTTGGAGATAAGCGCCGCTGCGCTTCAGGCAGATCATGTCTGATGTAATGTGGCTAACTGGACGCCTCGTACAGCCGGTTAATGGTACCTGGTGTTTGGCGACACGTCTGGAAGGCTCAGGCATGGTCTGTCAGGTAAGGAACTGCGGAGATAATTAGGGAGCCTTTTTGTCAGGTTTTGGTTCAAAATTCTTATAGATTTTCTAAATTTCTATAAAGTAACTTTTTTAATAACGGCATCCAGAAGGTGTAGACTGTACAATTTTGCTAAGCCCGCTATGAGCTTACTAACTTAAAATTGCTAATGAGCGCAAAACTCACCAGCCATTTGTGGCAAAACGAGCCTATCACTAGTCTAATGCATATCAACATTGACAAATCTCGGACAAACTCTGAACTCAACTAAACCAATTGTTTCGACTAATCGTCAAAAATTTTATCTGATAAATCAGATTACAATTATTTATTCTTGTATTTATTTTTAATAATTTATGAGCGATGATTTTTTGTTCTCCCCTCCATTTTCTTCTTTTCGTCTCCTTCTTCCAATTTTTCTCCGATAACTTTGTTCTCTTCCTCTCCAGATTTCAAATTAATTTCAAAATTAATTTTAATTGAAGTTGGTAATTTAAAATTAAAAGATCCTTTTTTGTTACGTAAATATATAAATGATAACATTAAAGAATAACAGCCGTAGAAGATTATTAATATGATAAAGAATATATTCTAAATAGAAAATTAAAATTCAAAAATTTTTGAACCTCAAAGTCATTTCCCATAGTTACTGCACATATTATAAATAAGATGGTAAAGAAGAAAGATAAGATCAGATCCTTTTAAAAATTATGTTTTAATTAGGATTATTTTAAATTTATTTTACATGCTGATACTTTTCACTGTCTATGGGTATTTTTTCAACCTGATAAAGCATGAAGCGCTTGCTAGGCTTACTAGTGATCTACGACTGAGATACCGTAGCGACTTTTCACCTTGAAGATTTTAACCTTCGAAAGATCTTTTAACCCCCAAAGATACCACTAGGTAAATCATCATACGGATAACCGAAAGTGCCCTCAAATTAAAATTTAAAAAATTATACGGTAAAGAAAATGTATGATAATTTGATTGCTTTGTCCGTCTGTCCTTTCGGATATCGAAGATGTATAGTTGTATAATACAAAAGCCAATCAATCGAGTAAATAATTGTCGGAGCCCAAAAATATCTAACTGAAGTATGACGATCATTTCTAAATATTGGTATGTAGATATATGCCAATAGAGGAGATAATGGCAACAACTATGAAAAAATAAATTAATTTTATTTACATATATGATTGATACTAAAAATATTTTTCAAATTTAATGTCCGGTGCCTTTGATCTTTGCTTTTGACTCTTAGTAAAAGTTCTTCCGGTAAACCATGGAAATATCATAAAGTTAAATCATAAAAACCCAGGTCCTGATTTATGTAACCCGAGCAGTAAGGAGCCTTCATAATACGAGTGCCCATCCTGATCAGGTCCGGTCAAACCAAGACTTTCTCCCCAGAATGGGTTTATCAGCAAAGGCCGAAACGGTCGTCTGACACATCGTTTTCCTTGGTTTACTAAGTTTATTAACGGTTATGTAAATTTTTACGGACACAAAGTTTTCCTAGTTTGAAAACACTTGTGAATAAGGTTCATATAAGTGTTTTTCTTAACCCTTTACCCATTGAAACATTTTTGTTTTTCCAAGATGAGCATATTTTATTTCAATTGGAGAACATTTTGGAAATAATGCCAAGTAGTCCTTTACGCCATCATTCCACAATTTTGCATTTCGCATTTTTTTGTAGAGACAAAAAATCATGAAAATATTGAGAATGAGTGTGACTGCCGTTAATACCTATTGAATTAAATGTATTCGATCTTAAAGTTTGGGATTTAGTTTGGGATTATACTTGACCAGTGATTTGAAAAGACCAGTGATTTGAAAAGCTGGGGGAACCTAAACGTAAGAAGGGTAAAGGATTAGAAGCTTATGCTAACATATGGACTAAGATTGTGGCATTTACCCTATAGAGATCAACTGTAAAAGTCAACCAACCGTCATAATTGGATTAATCAGAACATTTATAATTATCTCCTCCTTATGACTTTCAATCAAATCCAAAGTATAACCTTCTAGACCCCATTCTTTATGTTTTCGCATATCAATTTCAGTAATATCAGCGTAGGCTTCAAGAGTGTAATTGAAATTTGCAAGTTTAGGACGTAACCAGCAATACAGTGAAATTGTTTTCAATGAGAACACAGTGGTGGAGATAACAAGTATTACAACGGAGAATATAAAGAAACACATATCCTGAATTAATACTCATTAAATGATACCCCCTCGTGAATGATAAAATTGTATGTGACAATGAGGGGTACCTTAAAATGTAGGTATTGCATAGACAGCTCCTTGTACACTGTAGCAAACCAAAAATTTAAAAAGCATCTTACATTGATGTTTATCTTTTATAGGGTATCTTATAGGGCGAGCTATTGTATACTGTAATTTATAATTATACCATTAATGAAGACAATGCAGCCTTAAATAAATCCTTGGCAAAACAATGGACAATTAAAGCAATTAAACCCATTATAGCCAAAACTAGTTGACCCATAGCAATTAAACCACAAATATCAAAATCATTATATGGCGGAATTGATGGCCAATAATTTTTAGCCCATCGAAGAGGTTTTGCTGTGGTTAAGATTGACCCAACAAATAACAGTAAGAATAAAATCTTAAAAATTATATTTAAAATACTGTATTTAGAATTCTAAATTTATACAAAGCAGCCGAGGTCAATACATATAATCAAACCCTGCTTGCCTCAAATATTTTTTTATCCCGATTTTGGCAAAAATTTAGTTGGATATTATTATAAGATACTCCTATGTGGTTAAGGAAATCAATTATGTATTGAGAGCACATTGAAATATGGAGTATCATTGTTCTTACTTCCCACTTGACGTAATAATAATAATAAAATGAGGTTGTAACAGAATTGGGATCTAATAATGAGGTACGCTTAAGAGTACGTTTTAGTGTAGACTGGGACGAGGCCATATTGGAAATAACCTAGGTTGATAAAACCGAGGATTTATTTTATTTTTACCTCGAATTTAACAAAAAAATTTACCCAATTTATAATTTTAAGCGCACGGTAAGGCCAAAATTTGTTGTAAAGTTGGACATAATGCTTGTTATCATTCCCAATCAAGCTATATCCTCCACTTTCTTCAATGATATTTTCTTTATCATTTCCGGATTCTTTTACAATGTTTTCATTAGTCTCATTATCTTTCCCTTTATCAATGGTTGATAATTTGTTGATTATTAAATTAATATCCGATGGAATTGATGTCATTGTTTTCTTTTAAGATTACAAGAGAGTAAATATTTTAATTTAGAAATTTTTTGCCTTATTCGCTAGGCTAGAAGGAAAATATGTCGGCCTTAAAATAATTAATTTTTATTTAATTTATTATTTAAGAATCAAATTTATTCTTAAATTTTTATTCAAAAACCATGGCCAATGTTCCTATTCCTTCAAAAACATCTAAAAATAATAGAACTGCTTCTTAAGAAAATAGTAATTTAATTACATGTCAATGGTTTTTAAATTTTGTTTTTACTTATTGACTTCAATATAATTGTTCTGATTTAAGAGGCTCCTTTGTGAGTCCATTCGGATAAAAGTTATATATTAAGGCACGAAGAAAAATTAAGAAAAAAATAAATATATAATATGATATTTATTTATTGTTACTTAAAATTGACAGGATAGCTAAAATAAACAAGCATTATTATTCATTGAAACAGCTGCTAAACAAAAAATGTTGTCAATAAATAGGTAGATAAGAAACATAAAAAGGAAACTATTAAATATTAAAAGATGGAAGATTATATAATTGCAATTTTATGTTAACTACCCAACAAAGATGTGTTTTCCCTATATTTTGGCCTAGGTCTGACCCTAATCGACAAATTCTGATGTCCGTCTTAAAATTTGTTGCCGAGAGTTACAATGTTCTTCACGTGATTTAAGCATGTTTTAGGCAGCGCACTTTGCAATGATGTTGTTTTTTACTTTATGAGCAGTCGGCTTACGAAAATCTTTAGCATGTTGGATCATAGTACTAGCCGGCCAAATCCTAATCTCCTTCATTTTATTCAACCTAAATTCCAATTTTTTATATAATTTTTACTTTGGAAAACTGTTATTTTTCGTCGACTTTGGTATATCTCAAACAACCCCTTGGACACGAGAAAACCAATAGTTATTCAATTTGTGGATAAACGTTAACAAATTTTATCGATAAAACGGATACAATTATTTATTTTTAAATTTTTTAGAATATAATTTATTCCTCATTATTCCCTCCATTTTCTTCCTTTTTAACATCTTCTTCAATTTCCTCTGTGCTAACTTTGTTCTCTCCCTCTTCCTTTTTCAATTTAATTTCAAAATTAATTTTGATTGAAATTGGTAATTTGATATTAAATGATCCTTTATTGCTCCGTAAATATATAAAACACAACGTTAAAGAGTAACAACCATAGAAAGTTATTAATGTAAGCATTATAAAGTATATTTGCTAAATGAGAGAATTAAATTTAAAAAAATTTTTAATAACCTGTAAGCCAGTTCCCTCATTTATCTTGATTATAAATAAAAGAGTGAAGAAGGACGACAGGACAAGATCCTTTAAAAAAATTTATTTTGATTAGTCTGACTTTTAAATTTATTTTCTTGGAGGTAACTTTTGGGGCTTGTAAACATTTTTCAGATCACACAAGCTAAAGAATATAATGTCTTTATACTTGAAAAAAATTATTCCAAGGACCCTCTCTGTTACAAGATCACAGCTTTAAGCTCTTGCGATCTTTTAGCTTTTTTTAATTAGCTTCCTACAACGGGCTGGAAACCTCCCAAGGTGCTGGAAATCACCCACTTTATTTAGAGACCCTATAAATTTGGAGATTTAATTGCTTTTAAAAGGCCTCAGTTTTAATAATGTTACAATTTATTTTAAGCTTATCAGAAAATTTGACTAGATCAAGTGGTGTCACCTAGTAATCAGATAAAATATAGATACCGTATTTAAATAATTAACTTGTTTTTTAACTTGTTAATTATTGTTTAATTATCGTAACTTAAATTAAAAAATTATACGGTAAAGAAAAAGTAAGATAATTTAATTGCTTTGCAAGCTTGTCCTTCAGGATATCGAAGATGTAAAGTTGTATAATACAAAAGCCAATTAATCAAGTAAATAATTGTTGGAGCCCAAAAATATCTAACAGAAGTACGGCCAAAATCTCTAAATCCTGGCAAGTAGATATATGCCAACAGAGGACATAATGGCAATAACTATTTAATAAATAAAATTGAAATTAATTAGTAGTATGTACAGTAACCCTTTCGAACATACAAAATTGTTCTCAAAATTTCGATGCCGTTTTATGAGTTTTATTTTGACTCCTAAGTAGTAGAGCTGTCCGAGACCAAAATTTTTCCAAGACTCAAGACTCAAGACCCAAGACAAAATTTTTTCCAAGACCAAGACTCAAGACCAAGACCAAAACTCCAAGACTCAAGACCAAAAATCAAGACCAAATTTTTAAATCCCATAGGTCAAATTTTTGGTTTATTTTTTGTTATTTTGATACGATCACAGTCAACTTCAGCACAATAATATATAATTTCGAAAAATTGATGCGAAATTCAAAGAATTTCGGGGAATTTATTCGTGTGGAAAATCAATAAAATAAGTTATTATTTCAGAGGATTTGGGTGGATTAACGGGATATTAGTGATATCAAAGGATTAAGAGGGAATGCCGTGGGATTTAGTGAATTATGAGAGATGTCAGTGGATTTTACGTCTGGAACGCCAAGGTAAAGCCAAAATTTTGGCGATACCCAACGTTAGCCCCCCCCCCCCATTCGAAATCGACCCCCTGGCTACGCCCTTGGATTAAGCCGCAGGCGAAAATTTTGAGGATTTTGGATGGCCAAGCACTAGGTCCAAAAAGGCCAAAAAACCAAGACCAAAAAATAAAACCAAGACAAGACCAAGACAAACACTCCAAGACCAAGACCAAGACCGAAAAAAAACCAAGAAAAGTCTTGGTTCCAAGACCAAGACCAAGAGTCTCGGACAGCTCTACTAAGTAGTGTTCTAAAAGATAAAACAGAGAAAATAGTAGAAAAGTTAAGCAACAGCTCCAATTAATACCAAAAATATAACCATGGAGGAAGTAGGTGTAGGGAGCTAAACCTAGGTATGTTTATTAATCTCTTTACCCATTGAAGCATTTTTATTTTTCCAAGATGAGCATATTTCATTTCAATTGGGGAATATTCTGGAAATAATGCCAAGTACTCCTTTACGCCATCATTCCATAATCTTGCATTACGCATTTTTTTGTAGAGACAAAAAATCAAATAAATATTGAGAATGAGTGTGACTGCCGATAATACCTATTGAATTAAATTGAGTATGAGACTGATAGATTTGATCGTTTAGTTTAGGGTTCCTCATTTGAGAGAATTTGATCGAGGAAAGATTTTTAGGAAGTTTTACTCCTCTTTAATTCTTATTCTCATTCGAATGGCTTAAAGTTTTTCCAATAGTCTACCTTCCCCTATTTGACATCCACTAGCCAATATCAGTCAAAAAATGGATAAAAAATATGGATTTGGATTCTTCAATCAGAAATCCGAATCATCCGAACCTATTACCAACCAAATACTGTGATAGATAACCAACCGTAAAAGTCGGATTGATCAAAACATTTATGATTATGTCCTTTTTACGTCTTTCAAGCATATCCAAATCATACTCCTTTTTACGAGTATCATCCCTTTCCAAAGCAAAATATTCATCCATTGAATTATAGTTCCACGGGTAGCGGGGGTATGGCTCACTTTCAGTAATGTCAACATAGGCTTCAAAAGTGTAATTAAAATTTGCAAGCTTAGGGCGCAACCAGCGATATAATGATATGGATCTGGATGAAAACACAATGGTGGAGGCGACAAGTATCGGAACGGAGAATATAAAGAAGCACATATCCTGAAAATCAAGTGGTATAAACCCTTTTCCAATGATTTCTCAATCCTCACAAATTACTCCATATTTCCATTAAACTAATAACTCATTTAATTTATATGTTTTAAATATCAAATTTATGTTCTTAGTTTACTTAGTCAATCATAGGTCCTCTGCGCATCCCCCACTCTATCCTCAAACCCTTCAACCGGCGCTCTGAAGGTGCGCCAGACCGAAAAGTCTGAGCGGCATAAACTTTATTTAGGTACTTATAAAGTTCAGACCCTATCATTGTTAATGAGTCACAAAATTTAATAACAAATTTTACTATAATTTACCATTAATGAATAAATTGCAGCCTTAAATAAATCTTTGGCAAAACAATGGACAATTAAAGCAATTAAGCCCAGCACAGCCAAAACTATTTGACCCACTAAAAATGAGCCATCAACAGAATTGTTCTTGGTATTCCAACTTGAGGACCAATAATTTTCAGACCATCTAACATTGTGTATTTCAGTTAAAACTGGTCCAGCAACCAACAATAAGAATAAAAACTTGAAAAAGGATAATTAGAAATAATTTCCCAAATCCTAATTTAGTCAATTGAGTGGGGGTTATAAATAAAAATAGACACATCTAGATAACTTGTGATTTCTATTTTGACATTTATGGCAGGGTTATTGCTAAAATGAAGTAGGATCTTATTGTAGGGCACATCCTTATGTCTAAGAAAAAAGTAATCGGATTGACCGAACGATATCGATCTCAACAATAATCGGCCTCAACAAGACTTTGACCTCGACCTACTACATAAAGGTACAGTAAAATGTAGGCTAGGACAAGGCAATATCGGAAATAATTGAGGTTGAAAAACTGATAATTGGTTGATTATTAGGTTAATATCTGATGGAACTGAGGTTTTTATTTTATTTTTAACTCGAAATCTAAGAAGCAAAAAATTTACCCAATTTATAATTTTGAGCCCTCGATAAGGCCAAAATTTGTTGTAAAGTTGGACATAATATTTGTTATCATTCCCAATCAAGCTATATCCTCCACTTTCTTCAATGATACCTTCTTTATCATTTCCGGATTCTTTTATCAAATTTTCATTTATCTCATTATCCTTTTCTTTATCAATGGTTGATAATTTGTTGATTATTATATTAATATCTGATGGAACTGATGCCATTTATTTTTAATAATTATTTTACTAAAATTATAACGAAAATATGTACTAATTGTGTTATAATAAAATATTCAAAGGGAAGTTTGAGTTGAATGAGCTATTATTGCATATTTGAATAATGCAGTAGATTTCTTGTGCGAGGGGTAAAAACTAACGGTCTTAACTTTGTAAAATCAAGTCAGATTTCGATAATTTTTGTGTCCTTCGACTCAGCTCGAAGATCTCTTTTGGATTGACTTATAAATTATCTTTAGCATATACATATATCATATATATGTATTTGTTTATATTTATTATTTAAAATAAAAATGACAGGCTAGCCTAGAAAAGCAAACAAAAATGATAGTAATAATAACATGAATGAAGCTCTTGCTTAAAAATACTTATACTCAGTCAATAAATATTTAGATAAGAACCAAAGCTAAAATTTGCAGAGGAAAAATGAATGAAAGGTAAATAAAAATTGCAATTTCTATAGGGGTGACTAATAAAAAGTGTTCATATGACTAGTCCTGGGGTCAACCCAATTCGTCAACATTCATTGGCCTCTTTCTAGGGGTGTAGGAATTGTGAACGATGAAATGAGGTGGCCATTTTCAAAGCCAAGCCTCTTTTTACTCTCTAAAATAAACGCTAGGAGTTTTAGGTTATGACCAGAAGCACGTGAAACGATATGAACTAAATAATATACGGTGTATTTTACATATGCCGTATTTACTCTAATTGAATGACAGTCATTCTATTTTTCAATACCCCAAAAATTTGTTATCCAATTCGAAGGGTCATTCAAATAGAATGAGTCATTCAATTAGAGCAAATACGGTATGTAGTTAAATTTGAAAATATTAATTTAATTTTTAATGTCTGCTACTATAAGCGTCGAATAAATTAGATAAGGTATTGATAAAATTCTGGCGCAGTCATGATGTCAATGTAAAAGTTACAATTTTATTTTACAATACAATTTCTGCGTTCTGCGTTACCGGATGATTATATCTCTTTGTTAGAAAAATTTTCTATTATTATAATTAAATAATTATAAATTTATATTTTAATTAAATTAATTAATTAATTAAATAATTAAATCAATATCTCTATTCAATGTCTATAGATTTTTGGCAAGTCATACGGTGAGCTTTGGCATTTAATACTCGTGAATGCCCTTTCTAAATGCAGTAAGAGACATAAGACTTGGGCATCGCGCGAGTCAAAAAGAGGCAAGAGTAATAAGGGAGATAAGGGGGAGGGAGAGAGTAAGGGAGAGTAAAGTCTCCTTAAGTATCCCTTAAGCATAAGGGAGACTTTATTTTTCTATCTTAGCGAGAGAAAAGTTTTCCCTTGACAAAGATTAGGATTCACGGATTTCATGATTAAGTTTCACAAGTACAAGTACGGATTTTGGGACGAGCTTCCAAACACTGGACAACAACACTGGTCACTACTACTGTATTCGTTAACTCCAAGACGTTTTATTTGCCTCTCCTTCCCAGACTAAAAATTTCTAGGGAGAAAGAAAATTAAAAAAGGGAGGGGCTTTAGAAAATTTCCCGCGAGACAATTATAGAGGCGTGCGTTTTACCCTGACTTGTCCATATAAGAAAAAATTAGAAGTCTATTCTTGTTCACTTAAATAGCTATGTCTAAAAAAATTATTGTCTAAAAATGCGCAGCGCCAATTCGTTCTCGGCGTTTTATTTAATGAAGATTCAGTCCGCCGTTCTTGTTGTTTCAGTGTTTATCTTTCCTTTTAATAAAGCTGATGAGACACTTACACATTAAAATCAAGTAAATAATATACAATGAAGCGGAGGTTGAAAATATGAGTTTGAGCACCGACATGCAAATTGGATTTACAATTAGGAATTTATAATCAGACACCACTCTTATTTAAAAATTTTGAGCTTTACTTTCAGCTTAAGATTTTTAATAACAGTCAAGATGAGTTAATTCCTCAAAAGTTTATTTAATATAGCTAAATAGGGGCCCGCCTATTTAAGAATAAGGGACACGCCCAACTAGGCGCGGGCCAACTAGGCGCGACCGACTAGGCGCGACCGACTAGGCGCCGGCCAACTAGGCGCGAGGCCAACTAGGCGCCGGCCAACTAGGCGCGAACCTTTTTAATTAAATATTTTGATTATAATCAATTAGAATGGTCCCATCGACCATCAATTGAGACCATTCTGAATTATAAACCAAAAATTTTCAAAAAAAGAAAATTTCCAAAAAGAATTTCCAAATAAAAATTTTCCAAAATTAAAAAACCTTGAAACTTTTCACGACCAAAGACCAGAATACGAACATTATCTTCTTCTTCACTATCTACTAAAAGAAACTGCTCGAAAACTCCAGGTTCTGATTCTTCATAACGTCTATATTTGTCCGGGATAGAGTTGTCGGTTTCACCAAATCTTCGGTTAACAGAACCGACAAACCGAAACGAAACTTTTGGTTAGACGAAACCGATAAACCGAACCGAAAACTTCGGTTTTTCGGTTCGGTTTGGTTTGAAACTGATAACTCTAGTCCGGGATTATCAGAATTGATACGTTTTTAAGATTTGGAGAAGCATTTTGTTGAATATTTAATTAAAAAGGTTCGCGCCTAGTTGGCCGGCGCCTAGTTGGCCTCGCGCCTAGTTGGCCGGCGCCTAGTCGGTCGCGCCTAGTTGGCCCGCGCCTAGTTGGGCTGTACCCTAAGAATAAGGAATTGAAGGTGGAAGATGTTTGAATCCCAGAGGTGCTAGAGCTAAGTAGGGTTAATGGTTTCGGTATACCGCTTGATCGAGCAATAGGCTGACCGTATACAATAATATAAAAGCTCAGTTGGAAGGTTCTTCAACTGGATAAAAGAATGACTCAGTCTAGGCCGACTGAAGCGATTTCTCCTATTTGCTTTTGTATTATAAACATCTTTCTTTGGGCGTGTTTATCGCTTGTTTCCCACTGATTACACTTTAACCTCCTATAGCCTAGCGTATGAATTCCGCTTTTCCCTATTCACGTGAATTTACTTTTTCCGCCTTTTAATCAAAGTCCACTTAGTTTCCTGCAACTTTAATTTAACACTAGAGTCAACAATATTTATTAATTTTTAAGATTATTTTAGATGAAAATTGCGAAAATTTCATCTAAAAATTCTATGCATTACCTCAATTTTTATTTTATTTTAATTTTATTTGCTAATTTTGTTGCGAATTCGTCGGTTAAGCTTGGTCCATTTAAATTTGGAAGAAGCGTTTTTGATTATCAAAAACTAGAAAAAGTGGATAATCAGAACGAAGAAATGATTGAATTGTTAAAAAAGGAAGCAGAAGACGTTCAAAATACAGAAAAATTTGAAAACGAAGCACTCCCTTTAATTGCAATTATTTCAGATAAGGATAAAGTAAAAATATATATTAAGGAGATTAAAGCGATAAATAAATTAGATGGACAAATTTCAAAATTCTTTACAAGTGATTTAAACTTTGAAAAGTTTATGAATCATTTTAATGAACGTTATCAAACTATGAAAAACGGTTCTGAAAAAGAGTTACCAACCATGGTGAAGGAAAAGTTTGAGGTTTTTTTAAGAATAATCTAAATCAGGTGTATTTGGAAAATCCAATTGAAAAAAATTCAACCGAGTATATATTGTAAGGCTGGGATCATCCTGAAATCACTTGAACAATAATGTCGCTCTAAACTTTGCGCTAAGTAACGGAAGTTCCCAGAGAAAAGACAAAGAACGCCACAAACGGCCATTCCCAGAGAGTTATTAGCCTTCCATTATCTAAGCTTAACATCGCCACTAACTTATCCTTGGGAAAGCGATTGGAAAATAGTCGGTGCATATAAGCTTTAATGGAATATGCAAAGGCAGATCACTTTTTCATTCATTCAACAAAGTTACCGGCCGGCCAATCCATCGAGTCTTATAGTGAAGAGCTCTCCCTATATTCCCCCATTGCGAGCGATTAACTTATTTCTATACGCTGAGGAGTTCACACATGATTGCAACATGCGCGTCTCTGCTATAACATCAACTAGTAATTCACCAACAAGGCACTGGGGAACGGGACCAACCGCTTTACTATATATGTACATAAAATAAGGAGATACTAATAATAATTCAGAATTGAAATGCACTAGTAGATGGTTGAATGTGGACATTGTTTCGAGACCCTTAAGATCAATTCCTTTCAATTTTAAGTTCTATAAATTTTGTAAAAAAATTTTTTTAAGAAATTGCATGGGCATTTGGAAACATTGAAGGAAAATGATTTTTTAGGATTCCTGGGAAGTATTAAAATGTGTGATGAGAAATTTAATAAAAGTTTCTATGAAGACTTCGAACAGAATACAAAATTAAAAGAATATTTAAAAAATATACGCGAAGCTCATGAAAAAACATTTAAAAAGGTCAACATTAAGTTTGATTTCAGTTTCGATCTTTTTGATATGCTCACGCTGTTTAGCAATGCTATTGATCAAAATGTGGATATAGAAAATGATAACGACCCAATAAACCGCTTTTTTACAAATTTTGAAAAGGAGAAATTCCTAGATCGTGCTATTTTACAAAAACGTAAAATTCTAAAACACTTTAGTAAAAAATCGCATTCAAAAAAGAGCAAAATTGGACCGGAAATGGATATCAAAAACGAGGTAAATCATCATAAAGAAGATTAGAAGGGCGAGAAAATTTGTGAGGTTTTGGAACTGATGAGAAAAATGCTAACAAACACATTGATGTTCTAAAGATTTATTTAACCACCTTATTTACCGCTTCAATGAAGCCTAAAACTGGGTCCCTTCACTCTGTAAGGGGATAAAAATTGTTTATATATTTTCAAAAGGGTACCGCAACCTATAACTTCGTTCAGAATTGTCGAATCCGGGACGTTTTGGTATCGTTCGATTAAGCTCGTCGAGGCGCATCAAACCATAAAAGGCGGCCCAGATTCAATAATTTTGAACGAAGTTATAGCTCGGCGGTACAATGGGCTAGAGGTACATTGGTCTGCTCTCAAAAGAGTATAAGGTCACTCAATTTTCTTCTAAAGTCACTCATCGTAGGCATTTTTATGTAAAAGAGCATCTAGACATCGTTTGAGTTCCTCGAAGGTCAGTCGAAAATTCGTCTCCCGACTTAAGATTTCAAAAATTTTGCTCTATTTCAGAATCTTGAGTAGTTTCAAATTTCAGATTTTTCAAAATACCGACTGACCTCTGGTGAAGTCAAACTTTTGTGTTAAATTTTTAAAACGATATTCTCTTTCTACTGTCCATGCCCGAAAAAGTTATATTCTTTTATTTAAAAATGTACATTAACCTCCAAACATCCCCATTTTTTATTAAATTATACGCATGTTTTAACCATTTTTTTAAATTTTTGCATAAATTTTGATTTGGGAAAATGTTTTTTGAAAATAAAAATTTCAATAAAAAATTTTCAATTACAAGAAAAAAGACGCAGTATAGTTTTCGCATTTTATTTTTAGTTTTGCCGGGCCCGGTATCTGGGGTTTTTTCTTCCAATCCGATCCTGGCCGGGCTTCTGAAAACCCGGAATCAAAATATCCGGTTTCCTGGCTACTGGGCCCGGAAAACCCGGTCCCGGGCCCACCGGGTCAGAACTCTAATCAACTTATTAATACAATTTAACTTTTAGATTTTTTTAAAGATTTTTTTATTTTTTGCCCTGAATATGAGGATATTTGATCGTTTAATCCAGGGCTCCGATCGACAAAATACCAATCAAGAGTACAAAAATCTCGATTTTAAAGGACATAGGGACAAAATTTCCAAATTTAAAGTACACTCCAAATTAAATTAAAAAACATTTATTCGTGCTCAAATTTTTTATATTTCTCTCCCAAATGAATCTTTTCTAATAATTTCTTGTTTCCACTGAGCATTTTGTGCATTTCACTGCATGACATTTAAAAATTTGCTGACACAAGAAGTAGAGCCCTGACAGTCTTAACCTCAAGCAAGTTACTTTCTTTCGACCATTTTCAGCGCCGCAGGCGAAAATTTTGGAAAATTTCGGGGTCCTTAGACAGATTTCTCCCATTTTTGTCGCCGCAGGCGAAAATATTTAGAATTTTGGAAGGCCGTAGATAAAAAAATTCACTTTTTCAGCGCCGCAGGTGAAAATTTTTTGAAATTTGGAGCCCAAGAAGCCAGATTTCTTCCTTTTTCAGCGCCGCAGGCGAAAATTTTGAGAATTTCGAAGGCCGTAGGCCAAAAAAAATCATTTTTGCCCAATCCCTTCCCCAATTTCATTTTCAATCCAAAATGTTGATTTTAAAGTACATACTTTCAATAAAGTACAAATTCAATTTCGTAAGTACGGAGGGCGATTTTAAAGTACTGTACTTTAAAATAAAGTACGAATCGGAGCCCTGGTTTAATCGCTTATAATCGGGCAAAATCATATAAAATATACAAACCAAAATTTTCAATAATAAAAAATATAGAAGGGAGTCAGCAAATCATTTAAGAATAAATAAATAAACTGATGCGGATTTTTAATTTTTTGCCGGTCATATTCTTTGTGCATATTGAAAATTCATGTTTTGTTTAATTTTCGTTTAAATAGAGATCAATAAACAACTTTTTAAATAAAATTTACTAAAGAGATTTAGCATTCAAATCAATTCAAATGCGGAAATGAATGATTTCACGGGAACCACCGCTTTATAAATATTCTCTGTATTTTGCCGGTTAATTAAGGTAAAATGTATAATTGTTTAAGGGAAAAAAGTTGTTATTTTTTATCTAAAATTTTAATAATAAATTTATATAAAAATGAATATTCTTCCACAAGATGCCCAAATCGATGTTCTAAAATATCTCAATTTCATTCAATTATTATTCAACAAGTTGTTATTTTGAAAAGTTACATAATAAATATGAAAAACACTTGGCACGGGAACAATTTAATGATATTCAATTTGTTTAAATATTGATTTTACTTTAGAAATTTTTAATTTATAGTCTTATTTTCTGTGGTTAAAATTATAATTACAATTTTATTAGATTAGTAATAATATGAACGAAGCATTTGTTTATGAATATATAGTCAGCAAAAAATATATAAGAACCAAAGCTAAGACGGGAGAGGAAAAAATAAATGAAGTTAAATGAAAGGTGCACTTCTTTAAGGGTGACTAATAAAAAGTGTTTGTATGACTGGCTTTGGGGCCATCTCTATTAGTTACCACACTTTTGCCCGCTTTTTAGATTTGAACACATTGGGTTCGTTGAAATGGTTTCAAAATAAACAAAAAATGCATTTATCTAAATCAACATTACGAATAAATAAAACTTAAAAATTTTCTAGAAATACACTGGGGCACAAAAGTTTAAGGGCACTTGATAATATTTTGTTCGATACAGTATTACTCTGGAAATCTTTAACTTATAATTTTGGATGATTGTTTTATAATTTATTTATCTAGAAATCTAAGTTTTATAAAGTAAACTTGCACCATCGAAAATATCCGCTTTTCTAAATTTGAAAAAATTTGTCAAATTATCATTGATGTTAATAAAAGTTTGGATTTATTTGAAAGATCCTATTTTAATTTATCATCCGAAAGAAAGAAATAGACTTCTAACTTAAAGACATCACGAGTTATACTGTAGGAAAAAAGTATTATCAAGTTGTAACTTTTGCACCACTCTGAATATTTATATGATTTTATATTTATATAGGTATATTTATATTGTATATGGTTCGTTTTAGCCTTTTTCTTAAAAATAAAATCAAATTATATAACTACTACATCTCTCACATTTCGACAAGTTTTCAGTTTCTTAAAAATTCTTTTATCATCTTTTAATTTCTAAAATATAAAAATTAGGAGCTAATATACATATAAGCGCAGTGGTACAAAGCGGCCAAGCATAACTAAATTTAGAAGGCTATCACATATCACATGCCGTGCCTAATTCTAGATAGTTTGTAATGGTCTAGCTGATTATGCGCTGAGTAAAAATAAACAACTAGGGTTCACTAAATTTTTTAGAAACATGTTCTTGATACATCTTGCTATTCAAATACAATTACAAATGAGGAATAAATTTGAAATTTTTCTGATTTATAATGCAATTACAAAAAATATGTAAACAAACCTTTTATATTGACTAATTCGAGCTTTTAATGCATCGTATTCTTGATGATGGTAGTCATTTAAATGTTTCCATAAGTTTGAATTTTTGCCCTTCGATTTTTGAAGTTTACTTTTGCAACGCTGATTGTTGTGTTGAACTTTGCAATGGTATTTCTCAATCCCATCTTCATGTATCATTTCAAAATAATCAAAAACACTAGGACTGGTAAAATTTCATTAAATATATTTGGTTTTATTTATTAAAAAAATCCGGATCCGTTTCGGATTTAAAAGTTTATTATCCATCCATCATAAGGAACCTCATTTTTAAACACGGAAAAGGATTCTTTAAGTAAAAATATGTATTTATTCACTGCAAAATTTAGTAAATAGTTAACATGTAAACACAAGTGACATAATTCATTGTTTGTTGAGGCAAATTAAGAGGGATATCGGTGGATCATGTTGGATATCTAGAGATTAAGAGGTAATAAATTTAAAAAGATAGCTTTATCCTATGAATCCGGTTAGGCATTTGGCAACCTATTTAATTTGATAATCATACGTCTGAATATCTGAAGAATTCGCAATTGCAGAAGTTTCACCTATATGACGGCTTTCATTTTGTTGATATGAATGTTGAATATTTGAATAATCAACTTGATTTTGTTGGAAGTTACTGCGCATCATGGAAGATGGATGTTGTCGAACATCATGTCGATATAGATGGGGAAAGTTTGAATAATTTATATTAGTTGATGTTTCAGCTTCATGATTTTGTTGCAAGTTACTTTGCAATAAATGGTCGATTCTACCTCCATCTAAAATTTTATTTTATAAACTTATATAAACATATATTAAGTTTATATAATATACCAGAATAATCCATTTCAAGATCCTGAATAAACAAAATTTTATTAATTTATCTAAGTTGATGTTAACCGTAATAAGATGTTCAACATCTGAAGTTGACGGACCATGTTCTGAAATTTTCGGATCAGTCGAGTAGCAATTTGATGCTAGATATATCAAAATAAATTTTAGAATTTTGTAACTATTCATCTTTAATAAAAATTTATTTTCGACAGTTTCTGGTTATTTTAATTTTATGTTTTATGCATATTAGTCAATATACAAATTATACAAAAATGATATAAATTTTAAAATTAGAAGTAGTTATAAACATTTAAAAAATTAATTCATAAATTTTAATTCTTTAAAAACATTTTTTTATTTTTATAAATAAATGTCTTTATTCAATTTTCCTTTATTTAAAGGCAGTTAATCGCTCGCTCCATCCACAACCTCGCTACTCACACAGAGAGTGGCAGAGAATTCGAATTAAAGAGAGAGTATTCTTAATAAATTAAATAATCGCAAGTGAGAGCATCTTACTTTGCAGCAAAAGTAGAGAAAAAAATTTTTTCTTGAGTAAATTTCTATTTATTACCAGACGTAAATATGCTTTCTTGTTATGGAGAAAACAAGCAAGTAGTGAAACAAGCTTAAATTTTAATAAAGTTTCTTTCTGCTAAACTAGTAGAGGATGGACAAGCTGAAAATTAAACAGGTCTCTATTCGAATCACAGTATATAATATAACCTAAACATTTGGAGAAACTAAAAAGAGAACCGATGTTCTTGTTTTAAATGTTGCGAATATATGGGGATATTTATAATTAAAAAAATTTCTTAATATTTTACTCG